CAGTTCGAGCAGATTAGTGTAGGAAAATCAGAGGAAATCTGGGAAAATCAAATGTCTGAAAATAAAATGGCTTTGCGACTTCCGTCTCGTGGCAGAATGCGAATCAATTTTACGGCTGCGGCATGAACGACTCGTTTGCTTAATTTGACAAACGGAATAATTTGATAAATATCCAAAGACTCAGCAGGCTGCCGCTTGTAGTCCGGCTGCCCCCCCGCCGTCGCCTTTTGTAGCTAATTCAATAAGCATCCAATTACAACGCGGCACGAACTAGCTCCGGCCTGGCAACCGGGTCGTATACGCATTTTTCATTTGGTATATGAAAATTTAATGCCAGCAAAGTGCGCAGATAATTCGCATAATTGTTTTTGTTTGTCTGGCCTGACTATTTGCGAATTAGCCCCGCACTCCAAATGCCGGCGACTCGGCTATCTTTAAGTGAAAAAAGAACAAAATTCAAATAAAGCATCAAATCACGTGCTGCTCTCGTACTTTACTTCTTGTGCGGGCCCGAAACTTATATCAGCTAGAAATTGAATGACCCAAATTCAATTTCAGACTTGTGGCCCACGTCGATACCTAACCCCCCCCCCCCCTCCCCCCTCCCCCACACCTAAGTCTATAAAATCATAAGTACGTTTTCAGTTACCAGCTCAGCAGGTGACCAACCACATTCGCATCCGAGCAGGGCGAGAATGTCGCCGGGGCCGGCAACTGGGCGAGTCGAGGTGTTGACTATAATCAACGCAATGCAATTTCAATGTCTGCGTGTCCCATTTCGCTTTGGACCGGAACAAACCGCACCCGAGGCACACTGTCAAGAACTTACGGGCTGTGCTGCACCTAGATTTATATTTTATACACTGGGCACAAAGTAAAAAGCAGTATATTAGCTTTGAGTGAAATCTCCCGAAGTCTTAGAAGCTAGAGTTCATAAGTTTGACTGGTAGATTTATGATTTTCTTTAAAGATTCAAATAAAAGGAATCTATATCTCGCACAGTTTTGCATTCACAGTTTGATGGCAATACTCACCCCGCGATTAAAAAGGATATCTTTAATCTTAATTTAATACATTTAAAGTTAATTTAAATTTAGACATCCGATAAGGCAGAACATAAAACATGCTGGCGGTTGCATCCCAAAACAATATTTTAAATTGTTTCTTTTTGAAAAAACAGAAGTACAGAATACAAATCAAGCTCTCATAAGAATATGTAACTAATATTCAATAAATATTAGAAAACAAAGTTACAGAAAAATAGCGATTATTATTTTATAAATTTAACTAATAACAAGTAAGGTTTTAGTCGGGAGTGCTCGACTAGGGTATACCCTGAACCTTCTTCAAAAATATGTATTTACTATTCTAAAAGCAACATTTTAATTTTGGAGACTCTAGCTCTTAAAACCTAAGAAATTTTTGATCAAAAAAGGGGATTTCGATATCAATTTGTAACGATCGGAAGCGGGGAAAGCTATCGATTATGGGAAACAAACTCGTACAAGTCTCTAGCTCTTATAGGTTCCGAGATCGTTCCGTTTATACATATGCATGGACAGATAGACGGACATAGCCAGATCGACTCGGACATTGATGCTGATAAAGAATATATATACTTTATGGGGTCGGAGATGCCTTCTTCTTTCTGTTACATACATTTGCACAAATACATTATACCATTTTTAACCATTTTTAATGGGTAAACAGCCCATTTCAAAATTGTCAAAACTAATTTTATGTTTTCAAGCAGAGATAATATCCACAATCAAAACCGTAGAAATATTCTAGAATCATTGGAACATATACTATGTATATTATTAGATGGATTTTTTGTAGGTTTATTGGGAATTTTTTGTTAGCGTTGAAATGATTCTTTTCAGCTGAGTGCTGTCAAGTAAAAAACTATTGGCATTTGCGCTTTGTTGGCTTCAGGCGTCATTTGGCCATACTATCAGCTGCATTTTGCAATTAATCGCCTGGCACTCGGATAGCTAGGAGCATAAAATTCGAGTGACTGAGTCCCGGCAGCGAATCGTTCAGTGTCAGCATCAAAGCTCCTTTGGAAACGGCGAAGCGCACACATCACATCGCTCGATAGATTCTAGAGTTCAGTGCAAGGCGGAGATGGATTATAAAGCGTGTTTGCTGGGGACAAACAATATAAATATTTTTAGTTATTTTATTGAGCGCAATATTATATTGTGCACTGACCCAACAATTGTTGAATATCTGCTTGTTTGAGCGCAAATATTATTATATGTTTATTATTTTCGGATAATTTGTATTTGCGTACCTGCTAAGCCTTTAAGGCTTGTTGGACACAGACACAAATCGAGGGGCGCCTCGGGCAAGCAAATGTACATATATAGAAAAATAAATCGAAATTTATGTGCGCAGCGCTTTACACTTGGCTGGGCCGTAACTGGTGCCGTCACCCAGGGCGTATGCGTTATATGTATTTATGGACTACTCATTATGGCCGCGTGGCCGGCCATAAATCAAATGCGAAAATGATTGATAAACGGATGGTCAGACAAGCGCACTCATTCATATGCCCAATCGCTTCACTGAACTGTCGCTTCGGCTGTCCAATAATCATACACACCAAATACCCAAAGCCAGCCGGCAATCATACGCACCGTGATCCCACGGAAAACCACAACAACAAAAAATGGAAACAAAAGAACGTACTAGTTGCGCCTGTTCCATGGCCAAAAGTAACCGACTCAATGATGCCCTGTAGAGACTAAAGATGAAATTAACAAAAATTAAATTAAAAATGGCATTCACAGTCTGAGATAGGTGTAAGCTAAAATTTTAGTACACACAACTTTCTTTTTGTTAATAGATATTTTGAAGATATTAAAAAAAATGCTTGCCTATTTTTTTGGGCAGGGTATGAAAAAGGAAACTGAGCTGCACGCAACTTGTCCGGCGTTGCGTAAAATCCGTTTATTACTTATATTTGTGAGTCTCCCCTCTGGTTGCCCCTTCCGATTCGTCAAGTTTTCGCCAAAGGATGTTTTTTGTTGTTGTTTCCAACAACCTGTGGCTGCCCGGCAAACGGGCAAACGGGCGAACGGGCAAACGCTTGTGCAATAAAACGTAATCACATATTGATCTTATTGTGTGGTTGGCTTCGCTTGGCCTTTTATTTTCAAATGGCGGTCCAATTTATTTGATTTGAAATCTGCTTTCAAAATGGCTTAAGAGTCGCAGCGGGAGATGCCTCGGGTAGGTATTTTATCTGCAACTGGCAACTGTTCCTTGGCCTTTCCGAGTCCAAGCTTACAGACAATTTTCCCCATTTTTCCCACATTTTTCTGGCCAGCAGCTCAGTATCAAAGCAATCGGAGGTCGTAATTGAGCACTCATGCGTTTGACATTGCTTTGCAGTTGACCTCTTTCAGCTTTAGTCCCTTCTCCTAAATAGGGCGTAATTAGTCGCTGGTTGTTTGTCTGTCTACTAATTGAATTAATTGCAGGTATGAAGTATTAAAGCAAAGCTCATCGCGTTGGCATTTTGGTTTTCAAATCATTTTTAAAGTCGATCGTAACAAATATAAAAAGAAAGGGTATCATGTATTTGTGCAAATGTATGTAACAGGCAGAAGGAAGCACCCCATAAAGTATATATATTCTTGATCAGCATCAACAGCCGAGTCGATTTAGCCATGTCCGTCCGTCTGTCCGTCCGTCTGTCCGTATGTATGATCGCAAGGATCTCAGAACCTATAAGAGCTAGAGACTTGATATTTTAGCTGTAGGTCCTCCTAGTGCCCGCGCAGATCGACTTTGTTTTACGATATTCGATAACTTACCCCGAGTAATCGATAAAAATCGATATCGAAATCCTGTTTTTTAAGCAATTTCAGCAAATAATATGAGCTATGAGTATATATATATCAAGTAACTATCATTTTATACCTATCGTTGGAAGAAGAGGGTTCAGGGTATCCCCTAGTCGGGAGCTTCCGACTAGAAGCTTTTACTTGTATTTATTAAAAATCTGCCCGCTTTTTGGGCAATAATTAAATATTTTCTGCAAGCGTTGTCATTTTAGTATTGCGTGTATCTTTGTGTCTGTCATCCGGCATAAAAGCGATATTATTTTCTAAAAATAATTAATTAATTTTGATAAAATGTTTGCATGAATATTTTGTGCAGTTTATGTTGCTATTACCAATCGAAAATCATTCGAGCCATGCTGGATTTTATTGCCAGCGATCCGACGGCCAGAACAAATGACATTGGCTCCATCGGACGGGCAATCATGTGACATGTGGGATGACAAAAATTCGCTCGTCTATCAATGAAAATGCACTTTAAATGTGCACGTCCGTCCCACGGCACTTGCTGACAAACGACCGGAGTGCCCGGATGAGTTAGAAGTCAGCATCGGGCGCACGGGATGGGTCCAGAGAGCCAATTCATTTGTCCGACTTGTTGTGGTCCCGGCCGGCAAGGGTGATGTCAGAGAAATGTCACCGGGCTGTACGACTTTTGCAACTGTAAACACAACAACAGTGACAACCGTATTAAGGGGCACGACCAGGACGCCCGACGACAGGAAGCACAGAATGCAGAACGGGAGAGGAGCAGCCTGTCCACGTCAATGTGACTGCGTTGCAGTCAAATGGCCAAACGGAAGCCGAGTCACACCAGCTCGGGAGGGGGAGAAGGGGGAAGGGGAGGGGAGGGTCGCTTCTGGTTCGTTGGGCAGTTAATGAATCACTTAATGGGAAATGGAATTCCTCCGACTTCCGTTTGTGTCCGCTGGACGGACGGGGGGCTACTAAAGTTGGGCTGAAATTATACCTGTACCTGGCCCGCTCGATCGATTTTTAATTGTTGACCTGGGCCTAGAAGTGCTTGAGGCTAGTCGTAATGGGTTTCGTGTGCCTGCAAGATTTAAATGCTACTTTAATATAAATAAGATATTTATTATTATTACTATAAAGATATTTATAAAGACTTACCCAACTTTCTTTTTTCAGCTAGTTAAATCGCAGCGCAATGATGACAAATCGCTTCGCTTTCTGCGCCTTGGCATTGATGACCATTTATCTGCTGGCAATCTCGAGGACCGACGCTGCACCCATGCCCAGGTAGTTGTGCAATTGCCTCACATGCCACACATTTTTCTTGTTCTTGTCAGACACTTTCGCATGAACTAATTAATTTCTGGCACTTTGGCAGCGAGTGCTGGAAAAATATTTGCGGCAACCAATTGCGCCAGAGTTTGTTCAGTGTGTGTGTGTGTGTGTGTGTGTACTCTTTCAGCTTAGACAAGGACATTATCAAAGGCAAACAGAAATATGGAGGACTTTTTCGACATCAGCCGAGATGATGGGGCTAATTTCCAGTGTGCATGTGCCGGGCTGGAAGCGCATGTCCCCAGTCATTTTCCGACTTTATGTTGCCGGAGCATTTTCTTTTTTTTTTTTTAATGTGCCTTTTTCACTCAGCTCGTAGCATATTTAATTAACTGAATGTAAACTCAGCAAACGTGTTTTATATATATTTCGTAAATCTTACTAAGGCGACACTTGAAATGATTAAATTTTGTCTGAAATATTCATGATTTACCTATGCATATATATCTTGACCCATTTAAATATTGTTGAAGTTCCTTTAATGAGCAACTGCTCAGGTGGAAAATTACATTCATTAACTTTGACGACATTTACCTGGCGAGTGGGCGTGCTGCCGCCTTTCGATTTGCATGCAAATGCAAATGATATGAAGCGAATGTCAATTACAAGGAAAAGTAATTAGCTGCGCTGATTATTTAATTATTTGTGCTGTTTGCGCTGCCGAATTCTAGCTTAAAGTTAATTATCTATAGGAATTAAAGGAATTCTAGTAATGTTAATATTTCGATTCGCAGTCAAAGTGCCAACGGCGGCTATGGCTCCTACAACGAGCTCGAGGAGGTGCCCGACGACCTTCTGATGGAGCTGATGACACGCTTCGGTCGCACCATAATCCGAGCACGTAACGATTTGGAAAAGTAAGCTGATGGTCGGAAGGTTTTAAGGTCCTGGTTTTTACATTCCTGCTCTTTGTTAGCTCGAAGCGCACCGTCGACTTTGGATTGGCGCGCGGCTATTCCGGCACACAGGAGGCAAAGCATCGCATGGGCCTGGCTGCGGCCAACTTTCCCGGCGGACCGGGTCGGAGGCGACGATCCGAGACCGAGGCTTAAACGGGCGATGATCACGACCACGAGATGATGTCTTACCAAAAAAAAAAAACGAATTCCCCAAAAGCTACAAGAAACTAACAACAGATATTGTTACGATTTCCACAGTCTTTATACTAATGTACAATTTGAACTGTTCGCAGCCATTTTAATCCCATTTAATTACAATACTATTGATACTTCCTGTTACGCATTGTATATACATATTAATTGGCATTTCTATAGACGTGGGAATATTCGCGTTTTAGTTTTGAAAAATTGTTGCTCCACTGTTGAATGAATTTATGCACCCTCAATCTTTATATATTAAGATCATAATCCACTCTCGCTCTCTCGCTCGACTTAATGCCTGAATAAATAAATATACATACATATATAACCCATTTAGTAAAAATGTAGGAACAAGTACAATGCTATAACTAAATTGAACTGTAATTAAACTCGCGCAAAAAATCTTTAAATAGGTATGCCTTAGTATTAACACACAAAATATATATACACCCACAAATATATATCTATATATATATCAATATATATCTATATATGTAAGTATGCACATGATAGTTGCCATAGGCAACTTATTTGCTAGATCCAAAGTCAAAGAAGTGCAACTTAGTTTCCCGCTTACACGTTGAGTTAATGAGTACTATATGAGAAATAAAAATATTTTACTGTGTCACCTGAAAATCTCGTTTTATGTTTTGATTATGAGATATAAATTATGTACGTCTTCTTTTGGGCCTGAACAACTTTATCTGGTGCAGCTTGGAAGCACTTCCTGTAGATAGAATTAAGAGTTACGCATGCATCAAATATCTAAGAACTTATAAATATATACATATATATATATATATCTATATACGGATTATTGTGTCTATTTATAACATAAATACATTGATATCTTAATGGACAAGATTAAATAAATTTACGTTTAGAGAAACATAACATGACGTTTTGAGAAATTCGTGTTCTTTTTTTTTTGGGGCAAGAAATCAAATGTGGGAACTAGTCAAGCCTTTAGCTCTAGCATGGACAGACAGACGGACGGACATGGCTAGATCGAAGCGGACATTGATGCGGATAAGGAATATATGTATATACTTTATGGGATCGGAGATGCTTACTTCTGCCTGTTACATATGTACATTATAGGCATGGGTAATGTTTTGTTGTCCCAGACCCTATAAAGTACATATATTCTTGATCAGAACAATGAGCTGAATGGACATAAAAAACTTGGTATGCAAGTTCTTGATAGCAGAATGATATTGCCTAGACTATATCTGTATATCATATGGATCTTATGAATACGACTGCAGAAGTATTTTATACTCGGCAACCCAAAGGTAAAAATTCGCACTTTTTGTTTTATATCCTATCTACTTCAAACACGTTATTTTATATATAGGATATAGTTCCCTTATAAATATTATAAGATTTGAGTTTTGTTTTCGCTAATACTCTTTAAGGGACTGTCACTTGCACTCTGGATAGAAAGTAAGTTCTCTTGAAGAGGTCTGGAGTTCATCCTGCAGAACACAATTAAAAAGCCATTTATCGACTTCAGCTGTCGTCCTTTAAGTCCAATGCTGACTTTTGGTAGTTCACTTCTTGGCTTTATTGGCCTCACTTTTACCTACAGACATAAATCCTCCTAGTTTTATTGCTTAAGTGTATTATAAATAAGAAAGAAGAAGCACCTCTTTAATCTTATTTCAAATGTATCTTTTGGGACCAGCAAATGCGCAACAACTCGTTTTAGCATGATTGTGCTTCTATGTGCCAATACATTGCAATTGAATGTGTTTATTTATTTATTTTATTATTTTATTTATTCCCGCACAGCCGTGAATATTCTCAGATACATTTGTGAAGTGCGACCGAAAATAATAAAATGCTCAATATTGCCCCACATCGATAAGCCCAATTAATAAGAGAAGGTGAAATTGATCACTTTTAAATTAAAACTTACTTCACTAACTGGTTTTTTTCCAATCTTACCATTGTAATGAAATTAACGCCGTAAAATTTAGCATGGTAAATCCTTACAATCGGCAGGTGGAATTGAACCATCTTAAACCAAGTAGCATACGCAATAGAAAATATTCAGGATTCCCATCTGCTGGTTCTCTTATATTGAATATCATTCTTTTTAACATTATTGTTATTTATATTTAAAATTTCGGTAAACGTTGCCAGTTAAGTATTGTATATCGTGACGGAACACCACAAATATTTATATATATACGCTATAATTTATCTGATCGAATCTGGAACGCGCTTAGTACTTTTGCTCTCAACTGAGTGTACTAAACTTGCCCCTATAAATCATTAATGGCATTCATAATTAATATCCAGTATGTTTCCGAGCTCCGTCAGCTGCACTTAGGCATCAAAATGTATAATCGAATTAGTGTTATATTTTTGGATAGTATTATTCTGTTACTTGTGTCGGGTTATGCCAAATCCCAGAGTGCGATGGAAGGTGACGTTTAAGAGAAATAGTTGTTGGTTTTGATAAGAAACAGCGAATATAAGAAACTTGTCCATTTTTAGGCTCGAACACAAAGGTGCATATAGAACATCGTGTATTGGATACTTTCCGGGCAGATATTCCGAACAATTTTGATAAAATCGGGACGAAGTACTACTACATCGAGCATATTAATACTTTGAATTGGTTTGGAGCTGCGGAAAAGTGTCGTCGATTCGACGCGCATCTAATCAATCTTCAAGACAATATCGAATTGTTTAACGTGGGCTTAAACCTAAACCAAACCCTTGAATATTGGACCGATTTGAATAACCTCGTCAATCGAAATATATTTTATTCACTAACCACTGGAACAGAGGCAAACTTGCTAAACAATAAATTAGAGAGTAATGGGAAAACTCATCATATAAATATGTGCGGACTTATACAGTTCGATAATGCCACATCAAATTTTATATTGGCCAAACACAAATGCGTGGATAAAAAGGCTTACTTTATTTGTGAGACAACGCAACCAACCATAATATCTGTTCTATTATGGTGAAATCTCAAATACATACAGTCATTTTAATAAGTACTCGTTTTACTTCAAGCATTCATATTTAGCACTCGTTTTACTTCAAACATTCATATTTAGTACTCGTTTTACTTCATTCCCTCGTATTTAGTACTCGTTTTACTTCAAACATTCATATTTAGTACTCGTTTTACTTAGATAATAAACGCAGAATATGTTGTACATGCCTTCTATTTCTTTAATGGATGAAGTGGAATGTTTAGTACATTATGTACGCAACATGACTTAATAAATAAATATATGTGTGAAAAAACTAAATCAATATATATATATATGTATATATTGCCATATGAATAATATAATATTATAATGAATCAGGCAATGAGCAACAATGAAAAACCGCATGCATTTTACCCTTATTTAGTCCACGATACGCTGAAGGCAGCCAGATAAAGGTTCAATTAAACGAGGCTTCAGAAGCGACTTATACTAACTACATGTTTTCTATTTTATAAACTATATATAACAACAAAACCGTAGAGATTATTATTATTGGAAAAACCCCACTTGATTGGCACTGGAAGCTACAACCTATTGTCATATGAAAAACACACAAATAATACTCCATCGGACAACTCAAATCGCGGCGATTCATATTTTAAATTTAGTCACTTATACTAAGTTGGTCAGTTATTTACAGTCTCCGTCGGAAAGTGTCATTTCCTGGCTGATCAGCGTCATTTCAGATTTTCACCCCATTCGACTGGCCAGCCGACATCAAGGCGGAGGATATGGCCATAGTGGCATTGCCGGCGGCATTGCTGGCAGAGGCAACGGTTTGGCCGCTCAGCTCCATGTACTGGAAGGGCACGTGATAGGTCTGGCCTTTGTGCTCGACAACCAAATGGCCCCGCCCACTGGAGGCGCCCACAACGGTCACGGTGTCGCCCTTTTTCAGCTGCTGCAGTTCACCTGGCGCCGGATTAGCCAGTGCATCCTCCGGAAAATTCATTTTCATGATGCGACTTTGCGGATAGCCCAGCTTCTTTGAATTGGCTGTGATGGTATAAGCCCGAGATAGTGGAACGGGCGGAGGGCGTTCCTGCAAGCGGCAACCACAGCGCAATAATCCCAGCAAGTGGTGAAGTTTACATGTAAAGAGTGTAAAAAAGTTAAAACGAATTTATTGCACAATGGAAGCTAAAAATTCAACAAGGTTTAATATGTGTTTCTTGGGACACATTCTCAAAAATATATATATGTGTAGCTAGCGGTAAACAATTTATATATAATATAATATAATATAATATAAATAGCGGGTATAACACGGACTTAAAATAAATGTGGTCCAATAGCTTTGAAAATGATTTTGACACTGATCGGGCGGTAAACAAACAACTTTCATACGAACGATTTCCGCCAATTTACCACTGTTACGGGTGGAATTTCCCAAATCACTAAAACGGGTGTTTCTTGAGTTTCTATGTAGAGCTTTGAAAATAAGTTTAAAGCAAATCGGACAAAACATAAAACTTCATCAAAAAAATCTTGGGAATTGCACTTTCCACCGAGAAAGCTTTGATTTTGTCAAATATGTGAAACACGTCTCAAATGATTGTTTATATAGATACATGGAAATGAATTTGAGAGCGAAAGTTCACCCACCAAATCTTTGATCCCCATTTCCACCAGGGATGAATGGATTTTCCTAAAAGTGTGAAACACCCCGCAAATGAATTTAAAAAAAGATCTCTGAAATTGAGTTTGAGGCCGATCGGATGGTAAACAACAAAGTTTTTCGCGATTTTTCCACACATACGGGTGGAATTTGCCGAAACGAGTTACGACAAATGAATTTAAAATAGAATTGTTGCCGATCGAATAGTAAGCAGATCGTCGCGTTGGATATATGTTGACCGAGAATATATATACTTTCCAGATCGGAGATGCCTCCTTCTGGTTAATAGTTTGGGGATCGGGCATCCGTCAAGAGTTGCAAAAGGAGCCACTTACCAGGTCGAGTCCGAAGAGACTACATGTTTGCTGGATAATCTTCTGGTCGCATTTCTCGTGCGGATCCGGCGGTGGTGTGCCGGCAATAGGCTGAGGGCGTGGCCGAGTCACGGCACCTCCGATGCCCAGACCCGGCGTTTGGTTTGTGGATTTGGCGGACAGGCGCGAGACTAAATGGCAGGAGAGAGAGAGAGAGAGAGAGAGAGAGAGATAAAGACGGGTCGATTACAATCGATCAAAAGGTTTCTCACCCGTATTGGGAGCTGCGGTTGCGACTGCCGCCAGGGCGGCCATGGCTGCAGTGGCTGCTTTGCCCGTGGGATTGTTGTGGGCATTGACGAGCTTGGCACAGGTGCTGGCGATGGCGGGCAGCGCCGAGATTAGGCCGGCATCGGTGGCACAGGATCGCTTCAGGCTGCTGCCCATCTTCTTGCGCCAGCACCAGCCGCGCCAGATGGATTGGATGCGGGTGGCGCTCCTGTGCCGAATCTCCGTGCGCAGGTGCTCGAGATGCTGGCGTATGCCCTCGCTGATGAAAACGTGCCGCTTGCCCGGGGCCCAGGCCAGCGTGACAGAGCCATCCTGCACGGGCAGCTGTTCCATGCCCATGGCGTACTGAAGTATCAGCTGGCAATCCTCGAGAGCTTTGTCCTCGGTGCGCCGCAGCAGCCGGAAGGGAGCGAGCATTCGATAGCGGGCATTGAACTGCTTGAATCGCATGCGGTGCGGAAAGCCCGAGGCCATGAGATTCACGGTCTCCAAGACCTGCAGCGATCGGATCTGGCGCACCACAGTCACCCGATCGAACCGGCCCGGCTGCTCGAATGTATTGCTCCGGATGCAGCGCACAAAGTGCGGCCGGGCATGGACCAGGGTGCGCAGCAGATTATCCAGCCGCGTGTGAAAATCCTGAGTTAGCGTCGAGACCGGCTCATCCCCGTTCAGCAAGTCCGAGTGGGAGGTGGGCGAGATGCGGAAGCTGAGACCACGTGGCGCGTGCTGCTGGGCATAGAGAGCCTTCAGCTCGGATCCAAATAGATGCGTAGCGAATCCAAAGTTGCAGCTGTGCTTGTAGAACACGGCGACCAGATCGTCCGGCACCACGTCTCGGTTGGTGTCCAGAAAGTCCGTGGTGTCGTATTCCACGCGTCCGGCGAAGTGCCGAATGGCAAAGAGTCGAGGATCGTCCGGCTCCAGGGCGGTTCTCGTCTCCAGACGCGTCGAGCAGCGATGCTGCACCTTCAGCTTGGTCACGTAGCTCTCGGCCGTGCCGCGCACCGAGCACTCCATGTCCAACAGGCTGAGCAGGCCCGTGCGCAGCGAGGATATCAGATCGATGCATGGCACATTATCGACATAGTCCACCTCGGTTTCGCACACAATACCCTCGTCCCGGCACGACTCCACGGACGATTTGAAAATGTGCGTATTGTAAAAGTGCTGCATGGTCTCCGCGCACAAATTGATGCACAAATGCTCCAGCTGGGCGTGCGGCGAGGGCTCCTCGAACCCGAACATGTCCAGTATGCCAATGAATCCGTCCGTGGCATGCCGCACCGCATTATTCAGAGCTGCCATCGATTTGGAGCCCGCATTGCCGCCGCCAATGGTCGACGTGTGCTGCGACGCCGCATCCGCCTGGTTGTGCACGGACTCGTTCGAGTCCGAGCTCAACGTGCCCAGCGTCGAGCCCAGACGCTTCAGGCTGTTCGCTCGCCTAACAATCGTCGCCACCAACCGGCAGTAGAGCGCCTTGGCCAGGCAATCGCGTGTCATGTTCGCATCCCCATCCCCGCACACCGACTTCACCAGCTGGCCCCGCACGTTGTGGGTGCGCGTGGTCAGTCCGCGGAACAGTGCGGCCGGCGGCACCCCCAACAGACTGGCCACCGAATTCAGCTCCGTCTCGCCCTTTACGTCCACCTCGAGGCCCTGCAAGACGCGGAGGAGAGCTCACTTTAATAACTTGCATGAATAATATATTATTCATCCAGATTAAATTTCTGTCTCTTATGGGAATTTTATTTGAGCAAACTTTACTCAAGACTTAATAGTTTGATGTTAAACGAATAATTTGGCGCATGCAAGTGCCACCGAAGCTCTTCTTCTTCTTCTACTTCTTATTCGCACCAACTGCAGATAGTTACAAAAGGCAAAAGTTTCGTCAGCTAACAAATTCGAATGTCCTCTAGCCGGGCGTGCTCGACTAGGAGTTACGCTCTACTTACCGTCGAGGTTGCCTTACAAACATGTAAACTTTCTTTCATAATCATATACACATAAATAAACATTCACATTTAGATTAAGTATATTCGTTTTTTTGGGTAAACAGGGTATAATGGTAATTATTATACATATTTTCTATATAAATTGAATAATTTTCAACGTATGATAGATTTTTAAAAAAAAATTTTTATCATGCCAAAATAAAAAAAAAATAAAAAATATTTTCTATGCAGCCAATATTTTCAAACGAGCCCAAAAAAAGCTGGCCTAATTTTAAATAATTTTAAATACATACCCAAACGCGGATAGAGCCTTGCTTTGGGATAGGTCATGCTCGGCGCTGGAAAACCAACAAAATTAATTTCTACTGCCACTACAGTGTATAACAGCACACATACATATACATATTTTTATGTACTCTTGCATGCAGAATTCACACATACAAACATAGCTGCTTGCACGCCATTGGCTGAGGCAAAAACTTCGCATTCAAAGTTGGAATTCTGAACCCATCGCACTTGAATCTTCTTTTTCTTCTCATATACAAAAAAAAAACACACACACACACCCAAAAACATGTATTTGCAATCTGTGGGCAACACAATGTGTAACGGACCATTTATAAGATTCCGACTGCATATTTTATGAACAGTAAAATAAAACTTCTTGCTCAGTAATATATATAAGTTTCGAACACGAATAAATTCAGACGTAAATTACCCATAATAATCATCATCGCAAGAAATAGTGAGAAGCACCTTTAATTGATTAAGATACAACGCAAAGCCAAGCGAGGCGAACTCGCGACTTCCGCGCGTCAGATCGACACTCTAGCATGAACGCCATTCCACTCGAGTTAAATTTGTTGATAAGAATGGAATAAGTAGCTGAGCACAATAACATGTATGTTCAAAACTAGGTGGCGCCACTTCACAAAACAGTCAAAAAGGCTACAGATGGCGTCACGGCTCAAATAAAACTTAAGCAAACCACACCATCTATTGAAATATCTCGGAAAAATATTAACCAAAAAAAAGTGTCTAAATATGAAAATTTAGGATATTAATACCTTGTTATCGGTGTTACTATGGTTGATTATCAAGATCATTAAACTATATTTGTTATTGTTACTTTTTAAAAAATAAATAAAAGCCACATCTTTTCGAATTCGAATCGGTATCTGAACACTAGCAGCATATTCGCAACAGCGCATTTGATAGCCATAAAATTGATATAACAGTCTAAAAATTTCGTAGTTTGGGAATATGTTACTTACCCCACCGTCGATAAACTGAACGTTGCCCAGCAATAGCACAGCAGCGAGGACACGCACCACGTCCAAGAAGGGTATTCCCAATATGCCCAGGCAAGTTTTCCAGGCCTGAAAGCGCACCGCGTCCTCGTGCTCATTCTGGGTGATGTCGCCGCGGAGATAGCGCAGATTCGCCGGGGAGTAGCCCTCCAAATGGAGCTTCTGGCGCTCCTCCCTGTTGAGGCCGGCGAGCAGCTGGTAGAAAATGTGATAGTTCTTCTCCTTAGGCAATGGACGAATAACGCGAGTTTGGTCCAGAAAGTAACAGTGTATCTTGGTGCGATAGAGCGCACCGTCCGTGACCTGAACCTCAATAAACTGGCCAATGCGACTGGACTCGGAATTGGTGGTCGTCTTGGCGGATCCAAGTGAGCGTAATACTGTAAAAGCGGCGGCCAAATGCTTAAAGGCATCCGTCTCCTGGCCACCGCCGGCAATGGCAAACAACTGGCGCAGCATGAGCATGGCGTTCGCCGTCTTCCCGGCCCCGCTGGTGCCCGACAGTATGATGGCCTGGGGGTAGCCCGTCTCGCTCTGCTGACGCACTGCCTCCTGAACGATCTTCTGCAGCTGCGGCGCCAGCGGCAGGTCGCGCGTAGAAGTGAGCGTTAGCGGATTTCCAACATCCAGGTATGGATTAATCGACAGAAGTATCGAGCCCACGTTGGTCTGCAAGGCAAGCGAATCTATAGTAAACGAGGACAGATCTCCGGGAAGAGGGATACTCACGAAGTAGCGCTGCTCGTTGAAGCGGGCCTGGAGGGTGTGCATGACGGCGTGCTCGTTCAACGGGCCCGCCAGATGGATCAGATCCTGCATGTCCTTGGCCAGACGGTTGACCTGCTGCGGCTGCTTGCCACCGCCGGCTGCAGAGCCAAATCCGAATGGTAACGTTTTCACGCTCTGGCAAGGATTCACGTGCTTTGTGGATGGCAATTGTTGGCTATTCGGATGCGAAGTCACAGTCGCTGACGCCGGAAGAGAAGTTGCGGCGGAGGAGCGCATGGGCAGCGTATTGGATCTGCCATTGACGCTGTGGGGCAGGGAGGCGGGCGTCAAGGTTCCCGTAAAGCCCAGACTGCCGCCGTGCCCCTTGCTCTGGCCCATGCCGGACACCTCGCCGCTCAGCTGGTGCGGCAGCGGATGCGGAATGGACGTGTTGCGCGCCGGGATGACAGCGCCGGAGCCTGCATTGCTCGGCAGCGTCTGGCTGTAGTTGTACGCATGCTGCTCGCCAATTAGAGTTCACAATTGATAAGTAGAAGTTCCATGCACGTGGTTAGATGGAACTTACCTTGGTCAGGGTGTTCTGGCCGCTTCCGTTCGCATGCTGCTGCAGTGCATTCGCAGAGAGCCCCCCGGAGCCCAGATTGAGGTTCGGACTGGACGCGTTCAAGTCATAATTGGCCGCCTTTGATCCGCCACCGGCGCCAACTGAAACGCCACCGCCGGCGCCGGCGCCTCCTCCCATACCGTGGTGCTGTACATCGCCTGCCCGGCCATGCCCCTGACTCTCCACATGCAGCCGATTGCGCATGACCAGCAGCTCGGTGCTTAGACTTTTGAGCCGCTGTTGCAGGTGCACTGCCTCATTTGACGACGAGGCATCTGAAAGACGAAAGACACTGTTGTGATCAATAACATTCCCCATAAAAATATTTCCCATATGAATGGAAGAAGAGGTCGGTCTTCCTATAAACTGACCTGATATTCGTAAATTATCAATATTTACGATTAATAATATTTCCCATTATTAATATTTCTCATATGAATGGAAGAAGAGGTCGATCTTCCTATAAACTACCCTGATATTCGTACATTATCAATATTTACGATTAATAATATTTCCCATTATTAATATTTGTCATATGAATGGAAGAAGGGGTCGGTCTTCCCATAACGCGTCCTATAAACTGCCCTGATATTCGTACATTATCAATATTTACGATTAATAATATTTCCCATTATTAATATTTGTCATATGAATGGAAGAAGGGGTCGGTCTTCCCATAACGTGTCCTATAAACTGCCCTGATATTCGTAAATTATCAATATTTACTATTAATAATATTTTCCATTATTAATATTTCTCATATGAATGGAAGAAGGGGTTGGTGTTCCCATAACGCGTCCTATAAACTGACCTGATATTCGTAAATTATCAATACGAGATTAATAATATTTCCCATTATTAATATTTCTCATATGAATGGAAGAAGGGTCTTCCCATAACGTGTCCTATAAACTGGCCTGATATTAGTAAATTATCAATACGAGTAGCTGCAACAAGTAAGAGGATCTAGTCCTTTTTTTTGTGCTATAAAATATTTTTATTATATATAATTAGTGGGTATTTCACCCATATAGAATTAAATACGCCAAGCTATACCCCGCTTAAAAGACACGTGTTCTAGTCGGGAGTGCACAACTAGGATTTAGATTAGATTTTCAACTAAACTGAAGACAGTAGCACACTATTTATCACTCCCTCTATACCCTATAAACTTAACGTTCTATAGCCTATTTGAAATTTCTTTTACTTTTTTCAATACTTTTCTGCAGTACCTTCTGCGCTTTTTAACCGATCCTGAAGAAATTCTCTGGAGTAGAACTTTTTTTTGTGCCTAAGAATATTCGTATTTTTGAAAAATGACAAATTTTAAGGCGTTAAAATGTTCATCAGCCAATATTTATATTAAATTTATACCTCCACAATGTTGTTTTCTTATTATTTTATGGGCGGGGCGGTAGGTTATATATTGTGAATATGTGTGTATTTAAGTGTCTACGAGTCGAAATTGGTATCTGACTCTTATAAGCTTGGAGGTATGCTCAAAAAACGGAATTTGTGTATCGATTTCTATACCCTGCATCCATTGAATTTGGGTAAAAAAGGTATAATGGTAGAAGAATTTCGGACCTGTTAATTATATATATATTCTGTCTGTACTTATGTTTAAATGCGTTAATCGTAGATCTTTAAACTTTGGTCCTCCCAGGATTATTGATAAATTGCCCTGATTCCAAGCAATCAATAAGAATCTATACCGAAATTCTTAAGTTTCTAATATTGCACATAAAAATAAATTATAGATAATAATAATGAAAGTCCAGTCTCAACTAGACTAACCAGTAACTATGCCTTGCAGGCGATAAAGATAGCATGCCAATCTGTTCAGAGACTTCTTTCTCGCATTAAATATTATATTCTAAGCCATTTAGTAACTAGTCTTAGTCTGTGTTCTTTATTTACTTCACAACTTCATGCGATCCTCGGGCAGATGGGCGAGAGTTGGGATGAATGGAATTCTATTTTTCAAGCAACTTTTTTAATCTGGGACAAAATTATTAAAAAAAACTAAAATACTCTTAAATCTATGTATATTATACGAGAATATGCATACCAAACTTATTGTCCGTTTTCTTAAACTAAACTCTTTTAAATAAACACCTTAGAAAATTGATGGGGATACCCTGAACCCATTAAATTATAAGGTAGAAGGATCCTACAGACTTTGGCTAGAAAATTACCGTATGTAAGAGTAGTAATGTTATTAAGCTAAGTATTAACCCAAGAAACATAAATTAAAGTAGTAATAAATATTTCGAAATTTATGTATATTTAGGTTAAAACTTTTATCTAAAGGATGTTTTTAGTTTGAAATAATTATTTGACATGCTGCTGAACGTTTTAGGTTCAAAGATCCAGAGATCCAAAGATCAAGATATGCAAAATTTATTTTTTGTCAAGGAACATTTTATCAATCCAATTATATATGAAAATAAATGTTCTTTTACATTATATTCTCGTTTTCGGTAAGCTTCCATTCGTGCTGTTGATTATCAATCTTTAATTTTTGCATGCAGTAGAACTTAAAATCAGTCAAGAAAATTTCAAGAAAGCTGAAATAAGCGTGCATAGACGACGACGGCGACGACGGCCACATTTAAACATCTCAACGGATGTGTTGGCGGCGTTGCCTGGGACCAAAACTGGTCACGATGGGCCCGCGGAGAGGTTGCGACGAAGCTGGAGGCAGGCATATGTTGCAAGCCAAGCAGCACACACCTTTATAGCAATACAGCTGCGCACTATATACGACGTGCCCAGCACATATGTAGGTACATCGAGTTGTTTTTAATGTGGACAATGTGTTTTATTATGCTAATAGTTGCAATGATCGTAGCTCTAACAGATATGATATACACCAAACAAAATCGGTCTTATAATGGAGCCTAGGTACAGTTGTGGGATAGCGAGCGTTTCAATCGTCCGTTGTTTGGCCCAGATCTGGCTATACCATAATTATGCTATAATTGTTTACTTTTATGGTGACAGCAAGCAAGGTTCAAAGCTCTGCTCAAACAATCAATAATAATCATAAAAAAAAGTAATAGTAGAACGCAGAAACAAAAGACGTAGGAAACAAACGTGAACAGGTTTTGGTTGATCAAGATCAAAATCCTTACCCTGCAGCTTCTTCTCGGTCTCCCAAAATTTTTGCAATTCCGTAAAATATTTATCCAGTATGAAAACTTTTGACAGGCCCAATGTGGCCATCGTAGATGTACATTTGTGTGGCCAGCGGAGAATGAAACAATCTAATTCGAGCTGCAGTCGCAGAAACGAGTTTGGATTTGGATTGGCAATGCGTTGCTTTTATTTTTATTTTTATTTGTATTTTTATTATTATTCTCTTTTTGGCGACGCACACGACGAAAAGGACGAAAAGCGTGCTACGTCGGCACCGGCGACGACGACGATATTTCTTATTTGAATAATTTCGTATGCTTATACACAGCACAAAACACGCCCGATCGAACAGGTTTTCGGCAGAGAAGCTTACAGAAGGCAAACATTGTCCAGGTTGACCAGATTGTCTACATGCATGTGGCTATGTGTGTGTATGAGTGTATGTGTGTGTGTGCTAGCCTGCATCTGTATTTGTGTGCACGGCATACAAACTGGGCATGCGACCGATACCGATACGCCCGAACTGAACGACTGTCTCTCTGCCCGTTTGGCTGGGGATATTTTTATTTTGCTTTTTCTTTCTTTTTTTTGGCTGTGCAGCAAGTGAAACAACAAAATACAAACAAACGAGTGCAAAGAATGCAGAAGGGCAGCGCAGCCAAACCACACTGGCAGCATCTGCCTCAATCAGTCCAGTCCGATAGTTTTCGGAGTTGTGCAAATCTCTTGCTTTTGCTTTTCTACTCCGTATTATTTTTGTTGTTTCTTTTTTTTTGTTTTTTTGTATATTGATTCTTCTTATAATTATATCTGCAGCTCACTCGCGCGCGCTTGTTTTCTTGTTGTATGCAGACATTTTTGTTGTTTTTGTTGTTGTTGTATTTTGTTGTTGTTGCTTTTCTGAAAAACAAGTTACCACCAATTTCAGCTCGCAGACAGCAGCGCCAGCACACGCAGAGTTGGAACTCGGAGTAGATGCTTAGATACCTTCGAGGTACACACACACACACACACACACGCAGCCAGTCACATACACATATACATGTACATATATATATGCAGTAAATTAACACAGCTTTCCAGAAAACAATTTGATTGAGAAGCGACTTTGAAACATCGCTCAGGCGAGTTTTTCTATGTTTTTTAAACAGTTTATTTGTGGCGAACGCTCGATTTATATGCTTTTCTTATAATCCACATTCACAGACCAGACGAACAGCCGTCGACTTCACTTGCTCGCTCCCAGGCCAATACAAAGACTGAACGCTGGATTTGCGCTGGTCTGCGCCGCTCCAGACGCGGTTGTAGAAAAGCGATCGTTGTGCTCTCCGAGACGCGCTCTCATCATGTTGGCGCAGGTAAATTTAACAAACAGGTAAAAGGCCCGAGGTCTCTTTGTTTTCAGCTTCACTTACTCTGTCTGTGCGCAGTCGCTCAAATATGGGGTCAAGTATTTGAACTATGGGTCTCTCGCGTGTTAATTACCGTTGATTGTTTATTGTTAATGTTGCATTTCATAATTCCCACATCATTTCCATCGCAGTTTGCAGCTCACAGCACCTAACAACAGCCATATGCTAATTTATTCAACATTTTTACGGTCAAACGAAAGTAGAGGCAATTAATTTGGTTTGCAGATTCTCTGATCAAGATTATTTCTTCTCCCAAAAATATATAAATACTGCGCTCTCCATCATTATTTTTTTAACAATGCATTATACAGTTTAAGTAAAGATTTCCAGTAATTTCTTGCAAGCATAATCAATTGAAATAGGGCATTTCACAAAAATCATACAAAACATAAAATTAACGCCTGAAAATCGTTTATCCTAGACATAAACCAGCTTGCTGCACAAAGATATAAGCGAACACCACTTTTAGCTGATATGGTAACCCTTGGGTATTTATTCTCTTCACTGCATGCTTATTTCGCTGCACCACAACCTCGAATACCCAATTCGCTGCAAGTATAGCCAATGCGGATCTTATTAAATTTCGTTCAATAAACTTTTGATCCGTATTTTCCATTCAAGTGCAGTCAATTTTATGAAATGAATTTTCACAAAGATCTTTGAAAATGTATTATTTTTTACTCTCTGTTTCTCTCTGTCGAAGTAGTCTCTCAATTTTAAAGCTATCGTTATGAAACTGTACATATTCCCTCTATATCAATAGTTGCCATAGGAACGATCGGTTGAAAATTAATTTGTTCTTGAGAAAACTTTTTTGTTAGTCAAGATAATTTGACCAAAATTTGCATTTATTAGTTATACTATGCTCCTCATATATATGCATAATCCTATTAACATCGGCCCACTATATCATATAGCTGCCCTAGGAACGATCGGTCAAAAAGTAGGTTCTGGTATGAAAAACTTGTTTGTTTATCAAGGTATCTTGATTAAACTTGGCATTTATTAGTTTCACTAGGATCCTCCTATAAAATCAAAATCATATCAACATCGGACAGCTATATCATATAGGTGCCATAGGAACGATCGGTCGTAAATTAAGTTGTTGTATGGATAACTTTTTTGTTTTTTGAGATATTTTGTCCAAACTCTGCATTTTAAAGTTTGACTATGCTCCTCATATATATGCCTAATCCTATCAACATCGGGCCACTTTATCATATAGCTGCCATAGGAACGATCGGTCGAAAATTAAGTTGTTGTATGGAAAACTTTTTCATTTTTCAAGATATTACGGCCAAACTCGGCATTTTCAAGATGAACTATACTCCCTAAACTTATGCAAAATATTGTTTACATTGGACAACTATATCATATAGCTGCGATAGGAACGATCGAAAATGAGGTTCTTGTATGAAAACCTGTTTTGTTTTTCCAGATACCTTAACCATACTCGGCATTAACTATTTTCTCGGTACTTCTTAAATACGAGCAAGGGTGTTAAATCGTCGGTGTGCCGAATGGCTTCTTTCTCGTTTCTTTATGTCATTTATAGTGACAGGCAAGGCGGGAAGGTGGTTTTGGTAGGCATAAAGTGAGAGATACTTGATCTGTATAGTTACATTTTAATCGTGGCAGAGTATTATATATTATTTATATACCTATACCTATATTACTTTACAAGCATTAACAATTATATATAAGAACTGAAAAGTGTTAGTAGCTCACCAGTTATGTTTCCTGTGGTTTTGTTGCATGTTTTCTTTCGCCTGGCAACCGGGAGTGTGTAAATAGCTGAGAACTTTGTGAATCGTTCGACCACATCATTGATGTTATTGCCGGATAGCACCGAGGATTCCTGTTCCTTGGCAGCCCTTGGCCCCGCGGAGCATTCGGCCTTGTCCACGGTTGGCGAAGCTTTGCTTTGCTTAGGCGACGGCGTGGTTGAGCTGCAAGGCACAGAAGTTTTACCTGGAAACATTTGGATACACTATATTACGCACCTGAGTGCCTTGTGGTATTGGCAAAAGAAGTCGGGGCGCATGCGATGCCGACAGAGAAAGTCCTCGCAGAGTCGCAAAACATCGTCGCAGTTATCGCTCCTGCCCGAAGTCTCGCTCGGCTCCTTAGTTGGTCCGCTGGAGTTGGAGGAGCGCCGGGTCTCCGGCGTGTCTTGGTGCGCATCTGCAGGCTGTCGGCTGCTCTGTGGACTGTGACTGTGACTGTGACTGTAAAGAAAGGCCGGCAGGGAGGCGCCGACGAAGTCGGGTATGTTCTCAAAGAAATCTGCGGTGCGGTCGTAGCTGCTGCTGCTGCTGCTGGTGCCGGAGCTCTTGAAGCCCGGCTTGGTCAGATGTCGGTCCACGTAGTCGGCGTACGTCTGGTCCGGCAGCAACATAGCATCATCATCATATTGCGTGACCCATCAACCGAAGATATCTGCAACAAATGAGTCGAATACGAGCGAAATCAATCGCGACATCAATTCGCATTTTAATTGCTTTTAAATCAAGTGTCCAACTGCGGCTCTCAGCTAGTCCACTCGGCGGCTATTGGTCTGCGGCGGCTTCCGCGTCTGCACGCCCATAAACCTGTCAGTTTATTGGCGCAGGCGATTACCTCGATTAGCGTGACCATGACGAAGGTGACAGACACGGACGCTAATGCCTTTTACTACGCGTGACGGGCCAAGGAGACTGCAGAGAAACTGGTCACAGCTGTTCGCCTCTCAGATATCCGACATAGAACCAAGGCAAACGCAAACGCAAACGCAGGCGGCAGATGGATGAGTTGCCAATGGAAATGAGACACAATATTTATCCTACACTCTGCCAAGCAACCCGGTGTGGTCTCCGTGTGCCTCTCCGTGTGGCCCTAACGGGGGAACTCGGGGAACTCTTGCTTTCCGCAATTAACTTAAATGATTGTCATAAAATGTTGCTAGTGTGGAAGCGATGCCCATGTGGCCACCACGAGCCGCAGGCATTTCTCAGTGTCAACACAGCGGGCGGCACCGTTTGAGTACTCGTAGAAAGCTAAAACTCAGAAACTCACTCATATCTGAGTCACTTCCACATACTTGTTGGCTCTTATGGCGGCTACCTAATATGGGCGAAAGATCTTCACAGCTGACACCTCGCAAACTATTCTTGAACTGCTTTTAAGCCTGCCGACTGAACCAATTAAAACTGGTGCATCGTAATATAAATAACGCGGGTATTCCCCGGCCTTGCGCGCAGCTACTTTAGTGCTTACAAATTTAAATTTTTTTAACATATTACTTTATATTCAACTAACACTCGTCGTCCTGAACTAGAGTTATCTTTCACACAGATATTCAAAAACCGAAAAATAAACTTTCGTTTTTTAAACCGTGCCAAAAAAATTATCACCTACATTTTCACAGATATTGAAAGCGAAAAATAATAAACTTTCGTTTACGGTTTATTAAACCGTAAAAAGGTTTCACAAAAAATGATTTTGCAGCCGATTCCTTGATAAACAAACAGAATATACAAATATTTAATCTACCGCAGAAAATTGTATCGGAAACATGGAAGATCTTTTCTGTGGGGACTCATAGAACTTCTTATGCAAGTAAGGAGCCTATGAATTGATCATTAAAGCTTTAATCAATTAATAATAATTAATATCAATCTTGCAACTGAAATGCTTTTCGATAGTGCTTTAATTAAACATAAGCTTAAGGAATTCTTTCTTTAAAACTAATTAATATACACTTTTCTTCAAGTGTCATGTTTCTTGTTTAGTTAAAATTAGAATTTAAGCTAATATTATTGAATTTAAGATAAACTGAAAGCTAATAGCATTGGTTAATAAATAAATAAATATTTTATACTATGATAAATATTTTATATTAGCGAGCTGCTCCTAGTTATGGCAGGGTATCTCCTAGGTCTGTCAGTCCCGACTAAAGCACTCTTGCACTTAATTTAAATTAGGAAATGTGAGTTTTTTCTAATGTGCAATTAAAGCGAAATAATTTAAATAAAGCAAGTTCATATGAGTAAAAGTTAAGCAGTAAGGAATTGATTATATTGTTTATTATATTATATTTATTATATTATATATATTTCTTCTTTTTATTATCCGTACAGTCGAGAAATGTTTATTTAAATTCGTAAGAGCATAAATATGATTAGCTGCTGCGATTAGTTTTTGAAGACAGTTAAAAAGCTGCTGTCTATTATGAGAACGTAACAGAATCAGCTGGCGAAATCGCATCAACCAAAATAGGTCTCATAAATATGCAGGCCAGGCTCTGTGGCCAGGCTCCGTGGTCGCCCCTTAACTGAGGTTATTTATTCTAAGCTACGCGAGCGATAAAAGTTTTAGCTCAACGAAGAAGAAGAAACCTAAAACGTAAACGTTGTTTTGGCTCGTCTTTGGTCCACTCTGGCCAAGACCAGAGTTAAGACAATGTGGCCCTGACTTTGGCCCTGGCTTCGGCTTTGGCCATGTGTCGATGCCAACTAATTTGCATTTGTGCTAACGTTGGCAACAACAAATCACCGCTGCGGCTTAGATGCATACATATAAATTGATTACCAAGAGAGCGAGACTTTGAAATTCCTGAGTATTTAGTGGGGATTGGGCAAACATTTACAATCAATTTGTGGTCCAGCGGAAAAGTTTCCCAAGAAGAAAATCAGCGAGCAGCGATCAGTGATCAGTGATCAGCAAATCACAGGGTACAGAAATGTACTCCTAGAGTACTGCCCTATTATTATCATGGGGCGATGGCGATTCATTGCCCTTTTGACTTGCTACATGGAAATTACATGATTTAACTTAATTTAATAAAGAGCCAAGGGCGCAGCTAGTCGCTTGGTCCGCCTTCGCAGTCGAATCTCTTGTTGGAGTCGTGTTGCCAGTTCGTGCCTGGCTTTTGTGATTTACCGCGATTTGGCCAGGCCAAACACACATGTCTAATAGAACAACAACATCATGGCTCTGGCCTGACTCCGGCCTGGCTCCGGCCTGGCCTGGTCTGGCGTCGTCCATCATGGTGGGCTGCCGCCAACAGCACACTTGTCAAAATATTTACTGACCCAATTAGAGGTGGGCGCAGTAGTTTAGCCTTGGACTGAGCTCGTTTTCTCTCAGTGTACACATTTGCGCAGATCAAGAGATTTTGATTAATAGCTGGTTGTTTCGCCAGAGCCGGCTATTGCCTTAGTTGCTCACTTCTCGGCATTGGCCCCGGGCCCCAGGCGGACATTGAGAAATACTTTTACAAATCAAGTCGGCAGACGATGCACTCAAACTCAATGAAACTCAGCCCTAAGCCTTCCGATAGCATTGCAATGCTTTTATACTTATATCCCGTACATGGCTTAAAATGCCTACAAATAATCCCTCGCACGCTGTGGCGAATTCTATAAAGCAGCCCATCAAACAAACAGAAAGCCACCATAAAATATAGTTTTTAGTTCCTTGAAAACAATAATCGAATCGAACAAATGATAGTTGAAGCAAGAGTCGGCAGTGCCCGACTTGGGGATATCCTAAACCTACTTCTACCAACCCTTGCTTCGCACTCGCTTACCATAGCCCCGCTTGAATGAGTAGAGGGTATGAGTACTAGCATTAATAAAAGTAAATTTAAAAATGATTAAGTTCTCCCTTCCGGTATCGAATCCACAACTTCCTTCAATCAAGCGAACTAATTGCCATCATAAACCCATCCATGCCAGGAATTCCTGCGCCTTAATAACTTCTGTGTTTCTTGCCCGATATTGATCAAATTTTCAGTTCATATTTTTAAGGATATTCTCTCTTATTTTAATGCTGATTGTGATACAACAAAAAAACATTTGTTTCTGTAATTGTTCTCTATATCCCCAGATTTTATGTCTCTACGCATATGTTACAATTATTTTCAAATATCTTTATTCGAATTTATTTGAGGTGTCTTTCCACCCTTTCTTGTTAAAAAAGTGGCCCAAAGATTTGTTGGATGAAGTTTCGTGCTCAAATTCATTTCCAAGGTTCTTAATGCAAATTCTTTTAAGATGTGTTTCCCACTTTTCTTAGAATCCTCTCTTCCTAGCTGGAATATATGATTCTAAGATTTGTTGGGAAAAGTTGTATGTTCTACACATAAGAACTAAATGAATACGTGTTCCAACTGTGGTAGATTGAAATATTGAAAATCATTTTCAAAAATCATTGTAAAAATTTATTTGATACGTAACATATTTTAGAAATCCACACTGTTGGAAAAAACAAATCCGGTCAAAGGTTGAATGAACGAAACTTTTTGATTTGGCTTCAATTGCTTCCAACCTTTCGTTCTTTATTCGATGAATCTCACATATTTTTTTTTAAATATTTAGGTATAATGTAATATAGATTTCGAATTGAAAATAGGCGGAAAATTGATGTTCAAGATTGAAGTGCCGAAGAAATCGATTCGAAATTCATAGCTCAGGATTGAAATAAAAGTTTCAGATGGTGGATATACATATAGGTACCTTCTTGACAATTCAAAATGGAAAATATTTGAGTATTCAAACTGGGAAAATATTTTTAATATATATGCAGCGCAACTTAAATACCAGAAAATTGCAAATATCGTCACGTTTCTGGGTTTCAAAAAAGTAAAGAAATAGTAAAGAATGGCAGTCGGATAGCAAGGGAAAATACAAAAGTAATCATCGGTCTGGTTGGACAGGAAACGGAAACTCTCGGCTCGTTTTTAGCACCAATTTATGTGGGAGTTGACTCGAAGACGGAAATAGTACATGCATGTATCTGCGTCTGCGTCTGCGTCTGCGTCTGCGAGAAGGCGTGTAAGAACTTTTAATCGGCGTTTGATTGCATTAGCCCAAACAAGGCTGACAGCTGAGGCGCATTTCGATTGGATCTGAACTGAAATTCTAAATTTGAGCACGTCGCCAAATACAGCAATTGCGTTAATTTTCTTGCCGTGCCAGAGTTATGTAATATCGTGACAGCGATGCGATGCGATGCGACGCGACGCGACGCGATCAGATGAGATGAGTTGGATGCCAACAAGTGCAGCAGGAACCAACGGGCCACAAAAACTTGTCATCGCCATCTACGTTCGCTGTGAATCGAATCAGTTAGCAGTAAAAGGCTTGAAACAATTAGATGCATGCGTCAATGCGATTGGAGTTGTCGTCCCTTTATGAATTGGCAATTGCGAGTCAGCCGGAGGCAGCAGCTAACAACCAAATTGTTGCCAGGAATTTGACCTCCAGCTCAAATATAGCCTCTGGCCCCTGGCCAGAGACGCCAACCAGTTATTACGTACGTGGCATGTTTGTGATCGATAGTGTGCGGCAGGGAATTCTTGACCAAGCAATATTAATCAAAATGCACCTTCCCAAAAAAGGGGTAAATGCCACAGATAGTCTCTATACTAATCAATCAACACCTGCCCCCAAAATGCAGCTGAGCCAAATGGAAAATGTCGTGACCATACATTTACATGCTGCTCAAAGGTATACATATATCCCACAGATAATACATATGTATATAAACATACACCCACAACAATTTAATGGGAATAGAGCGGACAAAGCAAGTGGACTTGATATGCCCCTCGGGCTAGATTACCTGCGCATCTTTGGCTATGGCTGAGTTTGATTTTCAAGTCTCCGCGTTCACATTCGCATTCCGATTCCCATTCACGATCGCAGCCAGTCGCAGGCTGAGGCTGAGGCGGACTTGCACGCAGGAATTTATTTCGAAAGCCTTGGGATGCAGCTTCCACTAATTTGTATCTTGTCTTCGCTGTCAGGCAGGCAGCCAGAGTTCGCAGTTACGGAATAACAATTGGAAATTTCAATGTCAATATCGAGTCTCAGCCCAAGTCAGTTTCCTGGACCAGACACATTTAAATAATTATGGAAATTTACGCTCAACACACACCTGGTAATCAAATGAATACCTTTTTACCTTATCGTTACGAAAAGCCGAAGAAAGCTTGTTAGTACCGTAATGCGTAGTTAGCTATAAACGACACCCACCCACAATTTGCACAAGTTCCCATATAAATCTGCGCATATGTCTGCCTGGGCATACCTGAAGGGAAGCCCCACACTATAACAACTAATTAACACTTCCAGCTACTTCTACTTCTACGCCCAGCGGCCAGCCGTATGCCGACTGAATTAATGAACGAATTGAAGATCGCGTGACGACATGAAGTGAGTCGACATCGCCACATCGAACGACTGAGCCGCGGATCCGCAGATCCACAGATCCACAGTTGCACAGTTGCACAGAGTCGGCGGTGTCAGCGTCTTTTGGGGCACGTTGGAAGCGCAGGAGCAAATGTCGTGCCAGGCAAATGCATACCTCAAAATATCACAGGAAACTGGTTTCCGAGCGAACGAAAAAAAAAATTGGCATAAATGTTTATGATACAGTAAACGGATGACGACGACGACGACGACGACGATGACGACGGAGATGGAGACTAACTACGAATATGATGAAAAGCTGGTCTTTCGGCGACCAAGTGGAACGCTTCAACTGTGCACCTTGCCTACCTACATATGTACGGGTGTTATCTGTAGCATTGCATTGTCTTGAAAAACACACACATTATCCAAAAAAAAGAAATCAAACAAAAAGGCAGCCAGAGGCAGAAGAAAGTGAATTGTTGAATTGTTGATCAAACTACATGCAAAACGGATGTGAAACGCGGCTCTCATGTGAATATCTGGCAGACTTGTGCATACATCTGATTACATTTCTCCCCAACGAAACAGAATTAAATATGGAAAAAGATTCGCCAAATAACAGCCAAGCACATCCACAGGCTGACTGATGTCTGACATTGATAGATTCGATCGACGGAGCACAATTACAATAAACAATGTTTGGGAATGGGGAACCTTCAAATCGGATAATCTCGGCTAGACAACAGCAATCTTTGACTGCGGTCAACATCCCCCCTTTTTTACCATACACAATCATATGTACACATGTTTAAAGTTCGTTTTAGTCCCAGGATGGATATATATATAAGGTGTTTCCCAGCCTTGTAGATATTACTTTTTCACCCAGTTCCCGCTCGTGGAAAACTTAAATCTACCCGTACCATTAAGAACTCTACCACCATATGAATATATGTTTAAAGTCCAGCGAATAAAGAACCTTAAGTGGGAATCAACGTTTTCCGCCTATATTAATCTTATGCTAAGAATCTTGAAGCCGATAAATAAACTTTCTTTCATTTAAGCCCTTTTCATTCAAGAGCAATGCAAAATGCTGGAAATAGAAAAAAAAGTATCAAATAAATTTTCACAAAGATCTTTGAGAATGAGAATTTTATCCATGGTGGATAAAAAAAGCTGTAAAGATTTTGCCAAATTTTCACATTTGCTGGTGGAATTTCCATGAATTGATAAAGTTATTATGAAGGGATCTAAAATGAAACGAAAATTATAACTTTTGCTAAAAATTCTTTGAACCGCGTTCTGCACCGAGAATACTTGAACTTTGCGAAAATTATCAAATCTGTCTCAAATGAACTTTCTCAAAGAAACCAAATCCTTTGGCGCCATTTCCACAAAGAACACATGCATTTTCCTAAACCCCCTTTCAAGTAGTATCTTTTCTAGTACATGTAAAAATAATAATAAGGCAAAAGTGCCCAATAAATCTATATTAAAGATTCCTCTCCTCCCCCGCCTGATGGCTGATTCGCAGCAGCTGTTGGCGCCGGCAACTTGTTACGGGAAGTCGAAGGCAACGCAATTCATAAGGAAGACAGGAATTTAGTGAGCCTTCCTTCCCCTTCGCCCCTTCAGGTATTCTCAAATTCCCTGCCAACTGCTTTGAACTTAAGTCTAACTTTAAGTCTTCTTTCGGTTGCAGCAATTTTCAATATTGTACATTACCGCTCTTTGCACACATACATATTTTCTCAATATTTAATTTTGAGTACAAGCACTTTTCACATATTTTTGGCATTTCTTAACTGGCCAACAAATATTATTCTGATATTACAAGAAACCAAACATTGGCACAGGCGATTATGCTTCTTCATAATGTGCACGTCGGTTAACATGTTTTTTATTTATGTATTATATTATTATAACTTATCATCTGGTTTGTCAATTTATCAGAAAAAGAAGTAAACAAACTGAAACCCACGCTTGCGAACTGCACACAGATTGTTTTACACTCTCAGCGAATCGCGCTTATATCTGACGTCTTCACTCGTCGCATTGTTTTTCCGAACTGATCGGAGGATGTACGAACAGAACCGTGGAACCGGTGCTGCAAGAAAGTAACACAAGCTGCCCAGCTGGAGCAGCTGTTGCGCCGCCGTTGTTTTAGCAAAGCGACAGAATGTTTTGAGCACAGGCCTAAAACAATTAACTCGTTGAGGGTGAGGCGTGTTGAGCCACATAATAAGCTTGTGCAGATGGAACCAACTCATTATGCTGATGTGGTCTATGTCACCTGGATCAAATATTGCCCAAGGCTTTCCTAGAGTGTCAAACTGATAAATTGTTCGTTTCCCTACGACATCTCAGGTGTGAGTACTTTGATTCTAACAGAACAAAAAAACAGATGTAAGTATGTAATGTTGCTTTACATTTAAATATATTTAATATATATTTTAAAATAATAAATGCTCTAAAGTGACAATACACAAAGAGATACCAAATAAGAGTTACTGAACAATGGCAGGGAATAATCTGCTTAGCTAAGGTGAAGCATGCATGATTCCTGTGCATCCGAGAGTGTACAAAAGTCTACTGTAACACAATCTTAAAAAAATTAAATTAAAGAGAAGTAAAATTGATATTTAGATAGGAAAATAAAATGCAATAAAGACAGAGCCCGACATTCGTAATCTCATCACATTTGCAGATCTTTATTCATAGTTTGGCCTCTATATCAATTTGGCAACTAAAGCTGGCAACATTATTTTTGGTCTGAATTCATGTAAAAATGTTACTCTCAAATATCCTATATAGGCATAGCTCAAAATTTCCCAACCCATAACTCGGTCAAATCTCATACGATTTTCACAAGGTTTAGCTATTTGTTCAATGTTTGGCCTCTAGATCAATTTGGCAACTAAAGCTGGCAACATATATATATAGGTTAAAATTTTCCACTCCATAATTCGGTCAATGTCAAATGCCTAAATATTATACTCAGTTCACTAAATTAAAGAAAGTATATTGGTTTTGGGCAATGTCCGTAAGAATTCAAATCATACTGAATATCTATCTATTCGTCAATATCAACGTCAGTCTAAAATTATAACATAATATGAATTAATAACCTTTATTACGATCAATATCTTTTTTACTTAGCAATAATAATAGCTTATCAAGCTCCATTGCTCTCCTCGGGACGCGTCTCGCTGTAAAAGCCGAGATTCATTGTGGGTATCATATTGCTATAGAAGGACAACTCAGAAGCCGAAGGCCTTAAGTTAGCCATCTGAGCAGGCTCCTGTACGATAGGCGGCTTGGCAGCGCCAATCTGCTCGCCAATGGGATGACCCAGCGGTACCGCAGCAGCGGCTAGCAACGCCTCTTGTGTGCTCTTAGCCACACTATGCTGTAGCTCATGGACTTTGAGGTGGTTTTCCAGCTCCGACTGTTGCAGAAAGGTGATGCAACAGATCGCACAAGTATAGCTGGGGCCATGAGCCTCCAATTCATGACGTTGCAGCTGTTCCCGTCGGTTGAAGCCCTGTCCGCAAATCTTGCACGCAAAAAGCCTATCCATATGCAGAGCCCGATGACGCTGTAGATCCCGCTCACGCTGAAATCCTCTGTCGCAAACATCACAGCGAAAATTGCGCGATATCTTCGCTGGTGGTTTATTCTTTGGCTGCGACGTCGGCTGTTGTTGATAGGAGTAGGGAAGCTGCTGCACTGATGCATCGGCTTCCACGTAGGGATGCAGTGGAAGCTGCACTTGTTCCAGCGGCACCGTCATGTTTATGCGCACATTTTGATTATGTTGCTCCACGTCGCGCTTTAAGTGCACTTGCTGGTGCACTAAAAGCTTGTCTTTGCGAGCAAATGAAGCAGGGCATCGTTGGCACTGGTAGGGCTTGACCTCGGCATGGGAGCGCGTGTGCTTCATCAGCTCTAGTGGAGTTTGAAAAGAACGCGGACATTGCTGGCAAACAAACGGCTTGACACTGCTGTGAATGCGCAAGTGCTTGGTTAGGTTGGTATTGCGTGAAAAGCTTTTGGAACAGACGTGACACGAAAAGGGCCGCACGCCAGTATGAACAATTGTGTGCTTCTTCAAGTCCGAACGTCGAACGAATCCCTTGCTGCAGAGTGCGCATACATACGGCCGCTCAGCGTCATGCAGCTCCTTGATGTGCGCAATAAGAGCAGGCCTTGTGGTCAAGCGCAGCTGACAGTAGTTACAACTGAAAGGCGCAGAGACGTCGTGTGATCCCAGCTCATGCTGCTGGCAGTCTGGCTGTAGTGTGAAGGCCAGATCGCAGTATTGGCACAGAAAGGCGCTCTTGGGATGTGCATTTACCGTGGCACTGGCATCTGCAGTTTGGTGTGCCTGCATGATCGCCATTTGGGCTGCATCCATGCCGAGCGGCATATCAACATCTTCATCATTTTGAGGTTCCTCCTCATCCTCGTCGTCCCACTCCTCCTCGTCAAGGTCAGCCTCTCCATCGGATCCTAAGAATTCGTCATCGCTGGTCTCGCAAAGTTGATCTGGATCCACGTCGACAATGACGCAGCCTTCTTCGCCTTCTTCGAATTCAAACACGCCAGGATTGCCATTCAGGCCAGGTCGGTACTTGGCATCCAGAGAAATAATGTTTTTTAAATCTTGCTGCAGCTCAGACTCCCGCTGCTGCATGCACCGGCGCTGCTCATAGAAGTCCTTGAGCATTTCAAGGCAGCGTACACAGATACGTTCCGGTAAGCACTCATGGCGCTCATACTTTACACCCCAGATACTTTGGCACGCATCGACTATTAATTGCTTTTCGCCTTCACCGTTTTCACATCCTTCTTTAATAAAATCTGCGGTAGCTTCGTAAATGTTTGGCGATTCTGTTGTCAATGTCACGCGTGAATGGCATAGACGACATGGCGTTGGTTTTGATATAGATACTCGACGCTTTTTCTTATCCTCATTTATATATCCTGCGTCATCTGTTCCTAAATTGAGCATTTTTTTCTGCACTTTGTAAAGACAAATGAGCGGCAACGCGAACAATAAAATATAAAAATGTTATTTCTAACATAACAGCGAACAACCAACGATGGGCTTACTGTTATTAACAGCACCATGCACCAATTCGCGGTAAAAGTAAGTTGCCATCCCTGGAAACAATAATCGGAAAACATTTTTTTATTGTTTATGTAGTTTACGCAGTGATAAAAACTTTAAGGAACGAATTTTTTTGTTAAAGGGTTGGTTAAGTTCCCCAGTAAAAGAATGACCAAATTGGTTATGTATTTTAAAGCAAATTTATAACCAATATATGAATAGGGAAACGCAGGCGTTTGACGCCCGTTTTATTTGAGCACTGTTATGTACCGTAGTTTTTAGTTGCTTATTCACTCGCAAGCAACAAGTCAGATGCTACATTTTCATTGATGGGTGTAATATTTTTAAAAACAATTCCCAAACGCTTTGTAAAACTGCTTTGAATAGTAATAACATAAGACAAACGGCAGCTGATTGGACGCCGAAGTAGACGTACCCATAATAAAAATATATTCCGAGGCTTATCGATAATTGTGTGCCTACCGCAGTAATTCGAAATGTAACAGTGTCAACTGAGTAAGTTCTTTGCGACAAGCGTCTTACAACTAAGGACTATCGGAAACACATCGAAATTAACAAACAAAGTTGTATGCTATCGATAGAAAGTAAGAATTTAAAAAAATTCAATATTAGATTGAAAGATATGTATATACATAAAATGCATATTAATTGCAGTTGAAAAATTATTATTTCCATTTTCTGCAATTTTTTGTAGTGTTTATTATTAAAATAGCAAGATTTGTGCAAAACATAGCTTAATTGGCAATACTTCAATCCTCGAAAATCGACCTACTCCTACGAGTCTTACAAAATGAAACGTCAAGATCATAATAAATACAAAATAGAATCAGGCGATGTATGTATCGTATTTTAACTTTTTCCCGCTAACATCTTTAAACATCAATAGAAAATAGCTACATTGGCAAAACTGGTCGGAAGTAAACAAATTCTCAAAAAACCATTTTGTTGATTTAAGGACTATGTCGGGTTGATAACTTATCGCGTTACTACACTCATCTCAGAGTGTTATCGACACTCGACTCATTTGGCACTTTTAAAATGAAAAATATTTTTTTAACAATAAAGTCAAACGATGCCTGAGAATGATACCTAGCAACAAAAAACAAATTTGAAATTTTTTTTTGCTGAATTAATACGAGCTTTAAGTCAAAATAAATGTTCGCACAACAGATGGTGCCAAAACTTTAATTTTAATTTGTTTAAATTAGAAGGCAATGTATCACGTCACCTTTACTCAAGGTTATAAGAGGATAATGGTTGTTTTTTATGAATAAGAGGGAAGGGAGAAAGGGAAGAAGGCGTTATTTACAATGCTTTGTCAATGGTTAGAATTTGGTTGAACTCATAAAATATTCTAGATTATGATCATTAGCAACGACAATTTTAAATCAATATTATTTTAACAAGGTATTTTTATCTACCATTTGTATTGTAGTGTAACTTAATTTTTGTCTAATATTTATATGCTGACATATGAACTGAAGCTAAAATTGAAGCATACTCCGGACATAATTCGTTAGTAATTTAGATATGTATACAGATAAATGTATGTATGTATTGTATGTGTGTCTCTTACAAACTTGTTGCGGTTGTCGGACGTAGGACGAGGTCTTGCTTAGCTTATCTTCGTGTGCTTGAAATAGGGTAATTTTTTTTTTATCTAGAGATGGTTGCGTGAAAAAACATAAGTATGTACTTATCACTTGTTGAATACAATTTTTTAATGCTAAAAAGAAATAGTGTGCATAAATTGGTAAAAATACAGAGATAATAAAAGATCGATGCTTTATTAGTTAATTCGCTTCATGCGACTTTTTCACTGTCACGTCTAATGTTCAAATTACACGAGTTATATGCTTAGGCACGAGCAGGAGGGGCACGCACACCACTCTAATTTTCACAATTGCGCGCGCACACATACATTGAAAAATATTGTTGAGCGTGCGAAAGCTCATTTAAGTCACCAGTCGCATTCTGGCATTTGTATAGCACGAGCGTTAGTGGGACGTTGTATTGGATAGCTATACGATCATGATTGCCCGGTCATATTAATAATTGCCTCCTACTTACATCTAATTACAAACAGTTTCCTTATTATCAATTTTTGTCAAGGCTCGCGTGTTATGTTCACAAAGCTGTTTGTAATTCAGTGTTAGTGCGTCGGTTCAATTGCGATTAACGTCGATAGGAAAAATTCGGAAAGCACCGGTAAATGTCGTCGTTTAATAGCGGCATACGCATAACGCATAAACGCAACAACAGTTCGAGCAAAAACGCAAGAGATGAATATTTGTAATTGACTTACCTCCCAGCCCAATAACTGAGTAAGTGAGTATACCGGGCCTATTTGTTTGCTTGTCACTTCTTTCCTTCGTTCCTTATTCATCCTGTTGACACGGTCACACGCCAATGTACATATATGTATGTATGTATGTATACGCGCATGTTAAGGAATATTTCAAGTGTCCTAGCAATAGTATTGTTTTACTGCGCACTCAATTCGATTTACTATATTTTTTTCAAGGTGTGCTTCGTAATGAGCTTCCTTGTAATTTCCCTCCAACAAATATCCCTTACGTCTGCCTAGGATTTGTTCTTTATACTTCTTAGCACCTAACATGTTGCGCCTGATTGTCTATTAAGCTTCGGCTACTACTTTTACCTTCTGTTTACATATACATATGCATATTTAAGTCCCGTACTGCTAGTGATACATATAACCATAAAGTATTATATAAAAAAATATTCTTCATTATTAATTATTACATAATTCATTGCGATAATATACACAACTTAATGATCATCTAATTCCACAACATCAACATGAGATTAGTCACGCGACATCGACTAATCTACTAATAAGATTTTTTAGTATGCAGAACATTACCCAATAAGACCTTCGATTTTAAAATGTCTGATTACCGGGCAACTAAAAAAAATCAATCTCATCTGGCATTTCACTTAGATTTTTTTAGGACCAGTTGGCAAAACTTTTACATTTACATTTGACTTTGAACCTAAAATCGCTAGAAAATATTAAACAAGTTGTTCGGCCAGCTGTAATGTATGTACACTTTTACGCCTGTAAAGTCATATATGAGTACATATGTATGCATATGTATGTATACATTTGTCGGAATCATGCCATAATCTTATCACTGCTGTCTCTTTTCGGTGAATGAAATTGTTCGCGTCACTCGCAACATTCTCAAAGCACACATGCAAGATTTAACCCAATGTCTTCGTATTTAATTAGACTAAGTCTATCTGTTTAACGCCTGCTTGACTGGCGGTATGATTCAACCGGAGACTCATAGTGATACGTAATGGTGCGGGATGTATAGTATACTAGGTGGATAAACTTTAAGAAGACTCAGATGTCAGATCCCTCCACAGCAAGTTTGTCAAGCTGCCCAGTTCTTTGATAAACAGTTTACCGTAAAGCCAGGTTAGCTTGATAGGAAGTAAAGACAGGACAATCCCAGGGAACATTTTTTGTGTTAGTTCTCTTCCATTTTGTGCTTGTCAACATAACAAAATAAATCAACTGTGCAATTTGATGACATAATAATAAAAATACCTTGAATATGGGTCGATCTAGCTATGTCCGTTTTGTTTGTTTTATATCATATATAACTTGCCTTACAGACAGACATGGCTAGTTCGACTCGACTATTGCTGATCAAGAATATATATACTTAATGGCAACAGAGATGGTTCCTTCTACACGTACACACCCACACACACACACCCATAATTTAGAAAAATATTATACCCATTTACCCATTTTCAATGGGTGGTTCAGGGTATAAAAACAGTATTGTAGCACCGTTATAGAGATATGCTATCTCTATATATTAAACTGTTTGTCCCCACTGAATGACTTATTTATGACTTTCTTTAGTTAGTTAATGTGATGGAGGTGAACGTGAGAAGTCCCACCCGGCTCAAACTCATTTTCAAAGATCTTTGTTCAAATTCATTTGAGGAGTATCTCACACTTCGAAAAATCTATCCCTTCTTAATGGAAATAGGGGTCGAAGTATTGGTGGGTTATCGTTCAGGTGGAAATCAATTTTAAAGAATTTTTCTGAAAATTCATTTGAGTCATTTGACACTTTTCACAGAATCCAGACAAAGTTTTCAGTTTTGACCTATTTGCTTCAAACTTAATTAAAGCCCTACACAAGAAATAAATGAGTACTATGGTAAATTGACAGAGGACAGTTATATGAATGTTTTATGTTTACCATCCGATTTAAGCCCAGGAAATGTTATAGTTATTAGACAATAAAAATAAATATATAAAAAATTAAGATTGTCGAGAAGGGACTTTCTTTGGTGTAGGCTGCTGGAAGAAAATACTACCACGGTTTTATGTACGTCTTTTTCAGGGTACAATGTACGTCAACTTGTGTACGATTGTGTGGAATATGCACATATAAAAATTAGTTGAAGTGTATTCCACGGCGATTTATAGCCCGGTACAACATGTCTCCTAATCGGGCACTCTTGAGTGGAACGATCAGAATTCTATTTGCAAAGAATCAGTATAATATCAAAGTTCAGTGCCTTTATTAAACAAAATATTGCGTTCGACTAAACGGGGGAATTTTTGATAAGCGCCTTACCATTAGTAATTGTCGTTTTGCCGTTAAAGGCTTTACCTGATATGATTGAGTATTTAGTGTTGTGCGAGTCTCTGACCTTTGCGGACGTGCCGTGCCTTTTAGCAATTGCGCATGAAGAAACTAAACTAGAATTGTGAGTCAGAAACAAAGTAGTTGCGATTACTCGGAATATAATTAAAAAAAAAAGAGTGGTTCGTTCAACTTAAAGCTTACAGAATCAGTTGCTCCTTCACGTTTTTGTTGCCAAGAGCAACATTGTACATTAGCCAAGACCATAAAGGAAAGATGATATTTAGTTGCCGACAAAATACTATGGAGAATATTAACTATCTATTTACGTGCTGGTACCTGTGTTGCCAGGCAGGCTCTTATCTGGTTGCAGAACTGTTTAAAATCGATTTAGCTATGAAAGATATCATTTTATGTTCTTATAAATATACTGTATATAAATTACATATACATCATGTGGATATCTAAAGCCTCCAAATGGTATCAATTTGAAAAATGAAACCTTGGTCTGTTAATACAGAATTTATACGGCGCACGAGCTGTTGTACCCCACAAATTTGTTATTATTATTATAAATTGCTGCCCTTGATATAGAATGAAAAATGTTAAGTATTTCGAAATTCAACCGTATTGTATTGTGCAGCAAAAATTTAGTTGGTGAGGATATGAATCCATATATCTCCTATATTAATCTCCACTTCTATTGAAAAATATGTTTTAAGTACGTTGAATAAAGATCCAAATGTTGGAATCCGAGGTTTTCGCCTATGTTAGACTTGTGGTGAGAATCTTGCATCTAAAGAATAAACTTTCATTTATTAAACCTTTGACCCGCATTTGCCACCCAAGATTTTGGTGCCGATCGGATGGTAAGCAAAAACTTTCACTGTTGCGGGTGGAATTTCCAAAATCGCTGAAAGACGCATTCATTAAGATCTTATTAAGTTCCTATGTTGGGATTTGAATATTAGTTTAATTAAAATCAGACTAAACTTAAAACTTCGCCCAAAATATCTGTGAATAGCATTTCTATCGAGGAAGTTTGGTTTCTGCACCACCCACCAAATCTTTGACCCCCATTTAAACCAAGGAAGAATGCATTTTTGAAAAGTGTAAAACAGCCCTTAAATGAATTTGAACAAAGATCTTTGAAAATGAGTTTAAGGTCGGATGATAAACAAAAAAGTTTCATACAAACGTTTTTCGCGATTTTTCCACACATGCGGGTGGAATTTCCCGAAACATAAGGTAACTACAGTGAACATTTTAACTTCCTTTCTTACGGTCAGTCAGTCAGTCAGGACAAACAGTTTTATATATAGGGATAAGTACTATTTATATGTATATATTGACTCGGCTTTCTTCGACTTTTGTTTCATTTTAGCTTTTTGTATAATTTATTCTCTATTCTATTTAAATTCCGCAGTACTAGGTAAAACTGTTGTCATGGCGTGTACCTGTGAGGTAATAGGGCTCGCTTGCGTCGTGGCCCTAATTTTGAGCATTGCGGCCAAAGCGCCGTATCAGATGAGGATGTTTATTGTGCTGTTTGGAGCCGGCGCGATTGTAACTCTGTGCATTCCCTTCATGATCCTGCGGCCGAGGGACTACAGAAATGGGCTGTAAGTTAAGCACTTGAAAACTTTGCTAGAAGCTAACGATTTTGTTTTTAATTATTTCAAGTATACCATCCTGGTGCTTCGTTCAGCTGTGCCGGCTAATGGGTATCACCATGGAAGTGCGCGGTGTGGAGAACGTTAAAAAGGAGCATGGGAGTGTTGTGCTTATGAACCATCAAAGCGCTTTGGACTTGTGCGTGCTGTCTCATCTTTGGCCGGTGATTGGACGGGCAACCGTGGTGGCCAAAAAGGAAATTCTTTACATGCCCTTCTTTGGCGTTGGCGCCTGGCTCTGGGGCACTTTGTATATTAACAGATCGCGGAAGAGCGATTCTATTAATTCCTTGCAAAAGGAGGCGATTGCTATACGAGAGCAAAACTGCAAGATATTAGTCTTTCCGGAGGGCACGCGTAATTCCAAAGAGACATTACTGCCGTTCAAAAAAGGCTCATTTCACATTGCGCTTCAAAGCAAGTGCACAATACAGCCGGTAGTCGTATCGAAATACTCGTTTTTTGATGAGAAGAAGAAAAGCTTTCGGCCAGGACACGTTGTAATTCAAATACTGCCTGAGATATCGACGGATGGCTATGATAAGGAAAATATGGACAAGCTTATCGAACATTGCCGCTCGACCATGCAGCAGGAATACACGAGGATGAGTAAAGATGCCCTATCTGTGAACTCAAAAAAACAGTTATAAAAAATATATTTTAGTATAAGCTCAGGTTACACACATTACCGGTATTTTTACAGATCGAAACAATATACTTAATTTTCTGAATATCAAAGATGTGTAAATATATAGCAGATTTCTATTAATATTTAATGAATAAGTTAAATGAATAACATGAATAACATTTTCTCTTTTGAATAATTTTTACCGTTACTGAATTTACGTACGTAGTTATGCAATTGTGCGGGTGTGTTTAAAACTGTTTTGGTGCCAACGGTAGCCAATCAAAAAAAAATCGAACGCGGACAACAAACTCTTGTTAAACCACTTAAAAAATATATAAATTACAATTTATTCACCCATTTGGATGAGTTAGAAAATTACTAGGTGGCGAATGAGAGCATTGGCTCTTTTTAAAGTTTTTTGCCCATTTTCAGACTGGAAAAATTTAATTATCCTGTACTATCTAAAACTCCTCTTTTTATAATTGACATAGATATATCGGATAGTTGATTTTTACAGTGAATTTTATTAAATGCTCTGATACCCAACAAAAACATGTTGCTGCTGTCAAGACTTTTTGATTATACGATAAACGGCTCTCGAGGCTTAAAATTGCCGCCAATCCAATAAGAGCAGCCCTGTTTGATTGGAACAATCGATTGCATGTTCATAATACGATGAATATTCTAGTCGATAGAATATTCATCGTGTTATGAACATGGAATCGATTGTTCCCATTAAATAGCTGAGAATGTAGAGCATGGCAAAATTAAAACAAATAAATAAGTTTAATATCGTCTTGAGTCTAAAAACTAAAATCAATTGAATTAAGCTTTTTAAAGTTCATCATGCTAAGACCTCGGGGTATTCTCGGGGTATTTTAAACGTAAATATATAATAAATTCATTTCAAAGTGTTTTATCTGTGATTTTTGTAATAATATGTTAAGCCTAAACTATTTATGGCAGAAAGCGAAGCCATCGCCTGGCGATAATGGAATCCTTAAAAATTAAAAGCGAGCTTGAAGATGATACTCGATTTGCTGCTCAGTCAGACCCGGTCATTCCCGCTGAGGCCAGTGTCGAGCACAAACACGATCCAGGATCAGAGAAAACAGTGGAAATCGAGTTCAAGTCAGAAATCGACATTGAGCCTACGATTGTGGGAGAGACTAAGAAGCTCTTCGATATACAACGGCTGAGTGAATTTGGGGACGTGCCTTTTGTTATAAAACGGATGGAGCCGCAAGATTTTTCCATTAGCTACCGCAAGGCCGTAAGCAGCGTTGAGAGAATCTTGGAAAGATTACGACGCAACCGAGTGCCAATCGGCACAGGGATTGCCTTTCGTATTGCGAATCACACACCCTCGTCATGCATATTGATTCTCGCGTGAGTAGAAATGTGAATTGTACGGTCGTCGTTACCTATTCAACTAATATACATTTCAGCATACTGAATCACAAATGTCACTTCTATTGCAACGACAAAATGATGCTGTCGAAGGCATTACATTGGCAGATGTGCCGGGCTGGCATTGATTACCTGATTGTCAACGGTCATATGCCTGTGGGTGCCGTTTACTTTCACAACCTCGACAGCTTTCTGGTCTACAACGAAGAGTATAAACTGTTCAAGTTAAAGCATACCGCTAGTGATCCCTCGCCCGAGGCAAAGGGGGCTCTGCCAGCCAACATGTGCTACACAATTACGACCACCGGCACCACAGGAGCGCCAAAGCTAATACATGTTCCTTACGAATGCATTGCACCAAATATAGTGGGACTCAGGTGAGGTTTTGATTCTGCTTGATGTTTCAATCTTTATAAGAACGAAAATAAGATTATTTATTAAAATTAGTTAAAAGAGAAACAATTCTTTGCTTCCAAAACCACCCAGTTTTTAAATATTTTAATACTCTTTCTAGTTTAGTTTAATTGGGGCTGACTTTGTATTATTTTATTTCTTAACTTTAATTAAAATAGTGAAAAGCTCAGCATTTCGATGGCCGACATAATTTACCTGGGTACGCCCTGTACCTTTGATCCATCTGTTGTGGAACTATTTTTGGCGATGCAGAATGGTGCCGCAGTGCTTATCACCCACTATTCTATGCGTGAGTCGCCCAAGCGCGTCTTGAGTGCCCTCTTTCCAACGAGTGTTACCACGCCCGGCATCACCGTATTGCAAATGACACCATCGCTTTTTCGACAGTTCGGTGCCAACGCAATACGCGAACGAATACTAAACAGTTCCAGTACACTGAGGTAGTTGATGCTTTCACCTAACCGGCAGTGTATTAAAGTGCTTTGTTATTTTAGAGTGCTACTACTAGGTGGTGAACCGTTTCCGTCCAGTACCGAGCTGGCCACCTGGATGGAGCCACAGGTGCTTTTCCAAAAACAAGTATGCAACATCTATGGTATCACAGAGTTATCATGCTGGAGCATGATGCACGTTTTACAGTCTCTGCACTCGCGCGTCCATTTAGGAACGCCCATTGATGATCAGACTGTTTGGCGCATTGACTTCCAGTCCAAACGAAACCTTCAAAGCGTGGGCCGTGGTGAGCTTTGGTTAGGCAGTGCCACACGCCGCTGCTACATACCGGAGACTGATGATAGAGATAACGGCACGGATGTAAATTCTTCTGTTCTTTATCGTGCCACCGGCGACTTTGTACGACGGTTTGAAGACGGCTCTTTAGCTTATGAAGAACGCGCCAATGATGTGGTTAAGCGTGCAGGTAACCGCATCAGCCTGGGTATGACGGACTTAAACACTACGATGTAAGGATTACTGATTACCCCCGTTACAGGGCTCATCACGCGCAAGATAGAGAAATGCTTGCATAGCTGCGAACTGGCTACCTGTCTATGGCTGGAGGATCTGCAAAAACTAATTTGTTGCATTCGAAGTCTGGAGCCTAAGACAAAGGTACAGAGAAGGGCGCAGACCTTTGAAATACTAACCAAGCTCATGGCTGCTGAGCAACCGGACAGATTCGTTTACTTGCAACACTTTCCCTGCAATGCACACGGCAAGCTGGACAAGATGCTTCTGCTTAAAGAGTGTGCCCTCCTAGCACAGCCAGCCCAGGATATACTTAAAAGTTTCCTACACGACAGACTTGAGTGCGTGGACGTGCAAAATGAGAGACCACCAAAAAAGCTTCGGCTAGAGCAGACTGGTTCGCTAAGCAATCTTAGCGGTTATGACCTGAGTTTCCGACATGCTGGCGGAACATCTTTCCATGCCATAACGCTGTGTCGCGAAATTGGCTTGCAGATGTGCATTGACGACGAGCAGCGACATCTTTTTGAGTTGCTGCTGGACGAAAAAGTGACATTGCGCGCCGTTTTGCTCTTCCTAGATAATGCCAAACTGGTAACCCAAAACACCAAACTAAAGCCTATCGAGCCACCTATGAGCTCTACAGCCGGTGCAGCGGCGGGCAGCAGCACAGCCGGCGGCTTAATCATCACGCGCTTTGAAAAGCCTGCCATACATTTCCAGTTCTACTGGAAGGTAAATTTCAACAAGTGCATAGATTCGCCGGTTGCCCAATACGACAGCCGGTATGTGTGCGTGGGCGCTCATTCGAAGTTATTGCGCACACTGGATACCCTGACGGGCCAGGAACAAAGCACGATCAAGTTACCTGACCGCATCGAATGCAAGGTTACATTCCTTAGCGAGCAGCTCGCAATGGTGGGCTGCTACGACGGTTGCCTCTATGGGTTCAACCCGTTGACTGGCGATATTTTGTGGAATGTAGAAATTGGTGGGATGATAAAGGCTCAGCCTCTCCTGACATCGGATGGATCGCGAATTGTCGTCTGCAGTTATGCAGAAGATTATAATGTTATATGCCTGTCCACGGAACGGCAGCAAGTACTCTGGTGCATGCGCATAGGAAAAAAGGCAATCTTTGCTAGCCCACTGGAACTGGCGAAGAGTCAAGCCGTAATTATATGTACATTAGATGGTGGATATGCACGCATCTCGCTCTTGGATGGCTCGGTGCAGTGGATGCACAAATGTAAAGAACCCTTCTTCGCTTCTCCCGTCTTGCTGGACTCCAATGGCACAATTTTTGTCTGTGCCGAAGTAGCCGGACGTGTGCATGCCTGCGATGTAAATAGCGGACAAATTGTAAGCTCATGTTCCGGAAATAATTGTTCTTACGCTCTATCGCTCTATCATATGAACTATAAAATTTTCTATGCTTCTACTCTGTATTTTGCAGTTGGCTACGCATACGGTAGAGGGCAATATATTCTCTTCGCTGGTAGTCAAGGCCCCGCCCACTTACATGGGATACACATTTGTGCTGTTTGGATGCATTGACCAGCATGTGTACTGTTTGCGATGTAAGACAGGCATGGGTCAAAAAACTTTACTTGAGCTTCATTGGAAAGTGGATATAGGCGGCCCAGTCTATGCCACACCCACAATCATGACCGTGGAACCCAGCGACAACTTGGTATTTTGTTGCGCTACTGATGGTCGAATTGTGCTGACCAATTTGGGTAACGGTCAGATACAATGGTCGGAAAAGCTGACAGGTGAATTGTTTTCCACTCCGTGCTATGTGGAGAGACTTAGACGCGTTTATGTTGGTTGTCGGGACAACTTTTTGTATTGTATGGGAATTTAGAATAAAAAAAAGTAAACCACGTTAATTATAGCAATACGCAAATTAGAAATAAATAAATATAAATTAAAATACTATTTATAGTATTTATATTTCTAGAATTAGCGATCAACATAAACAGGCACGATTTGTGCTTTTGTAAATTTTCTCCTCAGAAGTACAATAGCATACGCCGAAACCGTTCCCAAATTTCAATATTTGTTCATGTGTGCGAAAGAACTGTTCAAGTGCCGGTCCAGATTGCATTGCTCCCTCAACATTTCGGCATTTACTGCAGCAACTGGTCCAGGACGCAGAGTCTAGAAGAACTTCAGCAATATTGGGTCCTTGTACTTCTTCTTCCGATAAAGGCAAGGTGTCCGCTTCAAGGTCAGAATAGTGATTTGCCCTCTTCATGTGTTGCACAAAGGACACTTGTGCTTCTTCTGCAATTTGATCGACGGCCTGGCGCATGCGGTGTGTTAGACGAGGAGCCGTATACAGCGCAGTAATAGGTCTCCTGCTCTTCCGTCGCTTCTTCTGCAATATCGCGCCCTTTCGAGCCGTCTTCCTTTGAGCGGAACGTGCCTGTCGTTTTTGCTCGCGTATGTCTTCTAGGTGTAGTATTGTTGGCGATTTTTCTTGGTCGGCAAAGAACTTAGCCCACCTTTCTCGCTCCACTTTACAGTACTCATCGAATTCTAACACATTTTTGTCGCCATCAGATGTGAGGATTATATCATCTTTCCAAAAGCTTTCGATGGTATCAAGGCTTTGTTGTCTCGACTTTATAGAAGATAGCCGCATCTTCTTTTGCCTCTTATTACGAGCTAATTGACACATGATTCGTTCAAAGTTGTGCTCAATTATGGATAACACACTAGCATCTTGGTCAGAATCTCTATTGAGTGACATTATTAAAATATTATAAAAGTGCGGATCACGCTCGTATTCTTTCAATATATCGTGATCAAACGCATTTTTAGGCAATTCCTCTGACATAATCAGTGAGTGTAATCTTCGTATCTTAGGGTTGTGAAGTTCGCAACTAAGTTTTTTCAGCTGCGTGTTAAAGAAAGTTTTATGCATCTTTTGTAAAATGACAATTTTCTCCATGCTCTTCCAGTCGTGATTGACAACAGAGCCACTCATACTAAATATGCTTGAGCTTTTGGCGTGGAACTTTTTTTTTTTATGGTAGTGTATTTTACCAATTTGAGTGCGGAGCATCAACTGCATTTTTGTTAGATAAAATTTTTTAAGGTCATCTTTAATATCGGAAATCTTACGATTATTAGGCGATAAAAGCTGCTGGTTATGCTCACTAATCAAATCTTCCCAGATCTCGTCCACTTTATAATCGTCCCTTCTATCTGCATTTAAATGATGGAGTTCAAAAGTGCTTATGTATTTTGAACTTTTTTTTATTACAGCCCTGGGTGCACTTTTATGAGCAAATAGGTTATTAATGATAGCGGTTGCTGTGTCGTCCATTGTATTGTCTTTTATTTCCTCTGAAACCACGGACATTCTCGGCGACGGCTTTTCCAATTCGTGATGTTTACTAAATTTAAACATCGACTTATGGTAACTATTTGCGGTTCTAAATTTGGTTTTGGAAGGTGAACTCATTTTCTGCCTAAGTTTTTGTAGGCTCCTTAAATACATCTGGCTTGAATCTGGAACCTCAAGATCAATTGTGGGCATCATAAAATTTTGAGTTGATTCTCCTCCCCCTCCACTCGGTCTCGTACTAGCGGAAGGCTTGCCAATATTCGAAGATGAGGAATTAATTCCCGCCTGATCAATGCCCGAAACAGTATCTTTGTCTCGCTGAGATCTGCTAGTTTCGATTGATTGCTTATTGAGATTGTCCTGTTTAATAAGTGGCCCAACAGTACTATCTTTCTTTTCTAGACAAATTTGACCATTGTTGCATTTCCCCGTTGATGAACTCGAACATTGAACTTTCTTTGCACTCATATTTTTTTCGTTCGCCTTGAAGAAAACATTGTTGCCCATTTTCATAAAGAGTCTCAACATTTGAATAGCAAGGTGCATAACTCCAATGTTTTCGATCAACATTTTTTTCAAACTATTTTTGGTTGTACTCCTATGTGCCATGGGGTGCATAGTTGTTTGATAATTTTCATAATTGTTTAATACCTTCTTCAGACTTGCAATGTATCTAGCTAAAACATTTTGGGAACTCTTCTTATCTTCACTATTTGGAGCGACGATATTACATTTAGAACGATTATCTTTGGGCAATCTTTGTAAGGATTCTAAGCAATCAGTCAACCAATCTCTACACTGCTTTAAAGATTGTAGTGCCTGATTGCTTGTCGCATACTGTGATTTGCGTTGTACATTTATCAAAAGTGCAAAAACAGTTTTTAGCAATATTATCCTTAATTTTCGAAAGCCTTGCAAACGTTTTAATGCACGATCCTTATCTATGAGCAAACGCTGATACTGAACCCGATTAACAGGTTTAATTTTAAACATATCTTATGGTAATTTTTTTTTTGTTTTGTAATTTAAACGTTTAACAATAAATTTGTGTTTGTATACCTGCCCTTTTGACATTTATTTCAAAGCACCGAGTTCTGTTCAAGTACTGTTCAATTCGAACAACAAAAAATTCGACTGGCATTAAGGTAAACTAAACAACAAAGAACTGTTCTAGACGAGAGCGCCATAAGGAGTTACAGGGAAAAATGAATATATATTTTAAGCAAAATATGGAAATAATTTATTTGGAAACCTTAGCGCTTGCCTTTAAAATATCTGCTGCCTTTGCCTTGTTTTGACGCATTTGCTGTAAATCCCGTTCTCTCTGCGGTATTATCTCTCTGTGGGCTGTGGGCGTTGCGGTCGCTGCTTTTCGTCTGACGCACTTTGGACGAGCAGGACGATCGTCGTCTGTTGCATCTTCGCAGAGAGTTTCCTGCGGTTCAGCAGCCTTCTTTTTACGTGCACGACGGGCTGGTCGGTTCAATTTTTCCGTCATTTCCGTCGTTTCCGGCTCAATCTTACCAGACATTTTATCAATTGCCGTCTGAACACGTTTGCTGACCTTTGGTTGCTGCACTCGAAGCGCGCTCTTCGCCGTAAAGTAATTGCGTATAGAGCCTTGTATCTTCTTTTCGTTGATTTTCTTTATGACCGGCATAAGAATGTCATCTGTTTTCGAGGTAGTCCAGCCAAAGAATTTACGCGCAAATTCGCGTATAGACTCAATGTCGGGAGATCCCCAACTAAAGGCGTCACGGTTTTCATCCACCTTGGGTATTAAGTAGGCCTCCACTACGGACGAACTGGGAAAGCCCTCATGCAACTCGATGTTCTTGAGCTTCTTGCGCAGCGAATGACGTGCGGAACTCCCGATAGGTATGTTGGCGTTCTTATGCGCTTGCCACCAGTCTCGAAACTTTACTAAAGTGGACAGCACAGACTGCATGGAGACGGCGCCTGGCCTACTGGAGGATGGAGAAGAGGTTGTAGGTCCAGTGTTCGGGGCTAAAGTCGAAAAGGACGCGAGTATTTCAAGAGCAGTTACAGCGCCAATGCCGTGTATACCTGGAAAACATAATTTCGTTACAATGCTTTGCCAGATGCGGTGTATTCTAACTGACCTGTGGTATAATCACTGCCAACGAGGCAGGCAAGCTGAATAAGCTTATCGCGGCTGCAATTAAATGTCTGCTCAATCTGTTCGGCCCGAAACTCAAGCACATGCTTATTTTGAGCGAAGAAATTTTTGTATACTGTACGACCACCGAAAAGCCAGATATCGCTATCGTCCGTTATGGTGCCATTAGTAATCCCTACGGCATTGAGGAAGGCGCACTGTGCTTCTGCTTCCATTGGCGCCACAATGTATGGTATGCCAAACAGGCGCAACAGCTCTTGGCAATCGTTGCTCATGCGTTGACTAATGGACATACCCATTCGATCCTGTCGATTACGTTCTGCTTCCAGCTCAGAGCGCTCATGGGCCAAATTTGTAGCCATTGTCTCTAGTTCCTCAGCGGTCTTTTGAGCTTTTAGAGCTTCCGCTGCGTCTTGAAGGATATCCTGCAAACACAAACATATTTACTGAATCAAATACAACAAATAATTACGCATTTATATGGTGAGCAAATAGCTGGCAGATCTATCTTCCAAAATTTTACCTGTTATTTTTGCTAGTTCAAATATAAGTGCATATATCTTTACCTCGGTGGTAACTGGCTCGGCCATGTCCTTCTCTTCATTTTCTTTAAACAGCGATTTTGCCGCTTTGCTAGATTGTGTATTGGGTGAGACGGAATTGTCTCTCAGTTCTTTTCCGGCACTCTTACGTCCCGATTTTGGTGTGCGCTTTACGTAGTACGGCTTGGGAACCATTGGAGATACGGGAGGAGTAACATGTGGATCTACTGGCTTATCGGGTGTGCGTTTTATACTATATGTAGTTTGAAAGAAATCGGTTATTGCTTTGTTCTTGCTGGGAGTCTTATTTGGGGATGTGCGATTCATTTCGTTATCACTGTCACAAAGCTCAATAATATCTTTGGACTTTGGAGATGTTGCTTCTTTTGCGGCCTCATCGTCGGAGGATAATTCAATGGCCATACTATTGTTTAACTTAACAGACTCCAGTTTTATATTCTTAACTTCATCCGTTTGTCGCTTAAGCTCATTAAGTATAGAGGTCAGACCAACATCCGGCTGTTCTTTTTCTTCGGAGAGATCGAATTTCGTATTTTTAATTTCTTCTGTTTGCCTTTTAAGATCAGAGAGTATAGAGCTTAATTCGACTTCCTTTTCTGTTTTTTTAGCATTTAAGTCAATTGTTTTCTCTTTGTCGTGTTTCACTGTACTCTGCTCAAGAGTTTTCCTTTCTTCACTATCTTCTACGTTCGAATGATTTGAATCGAATTTGCTAACATTTTTACACTTTATTATCAAATCTGTGCTTTTATTATCTCCACGTTCGTTTTTATGTTCTGCTTCATTCGCACACATGTTGGTTTTCTCAGTATTCATTGTGGCTTCTGCATCAGCTTCCTGGAGGACACTATCCTTTACCGGGTACTCATTTTTAAAAATGTCCGAAAAGAGATCATCCTCTTCGTTCAATTGATCTTTAATGCCTACACAAATTTCGAGGCTTGTTTTTGCAGGCATTTCCTTGGTGTCAGTAACCTCTTCTAAGTCTGAATCAGTATCGCTTTCAATGATTTGAACTGAATCTGGTTTGTCGAGATATTCATTTGTTGTCTGTACAACTGGCGAAGAGAGTTGTTTGACTTTTTCAATAGAATTATTTGCTATATCAACCTCTGTTATCTTATCATCAGCACTTCTGTTATGCAGTAAACGCTCTAAGCTCTGAGTATCATTCAATTGTGTTGATTCCATGATGTTCTCCACCTCCTCGTCGTTCATTCCACCGTATTCAATCATATACGCTCGCGCTGGTCCCTTGGCAGCATAGCGCAAAAATTTGCTTTGTTCGCGATTCAGGCGCAAGTCCTGATCCGCATTATAGTTGTAGTCCTCTTCGTCGTATACTTTTTGTGATTCATCAAGAAATAATGCTAATGCCATTTCGTAATCACCATCAGGTGCAGCGCCCGGTTCCTTATTGTGTGTATCGTTGGGTGGGGGCGACTTTTTTACGGCTACAGTTTTCGTCGACGTACCCGGACTTTCATCAGATTCCAAAGCAAGCGCAGCGCTTTCTTCTGCAATTGTCTCAAAGCTCTTCTGCGCCATTCTACGACTATCCTCCATAGTCTTTTTTTTAAGATCCCGTACTAACAAGAATCTGGTGTGTTCATCGGAACTTATTTGACGCGTACTCTGCTCAATAGCTGTCGGCGTGACAATACCTTCTTCGCTGAAAAACTCCGACAACTCTGCATACGTCAGAGTGTGGCCGCCCATTTCTTGTTGCGCTTGCTCGAGGCTTTCCTGAACGGCGCGTCGCTTTAATAATCGTTTCATTTGGAAAGAGGAAAAGTCATTACTTCGTGCTGGGAGCTCATGGAGGCGACCCCAGGACGACTGTTTGCGCGTTTCCTTAATGTCTGTTAATATTTCATGCCGTATATCGGCCGGCAGGCTTTTAAAGTGCTGGCTGCGAACATCGATACCTTGCAAGCTGGCATTATAAGTATGCCGTGCGGTTGACTCATCAAAGGAGCTATCCGAAGTAGTGTTTCCACCTGTATTATCTAATTCGCAGTCCGATTCGCCGATTTCAGCAGCGGATGCTTCTGGGAGCTCTGGCAACTTGAATAGATCGTCTTCATCATTTCTGCTGCCCTTTCCTGTGACTGCCCGTTTTGATGGCGACTTTAGCAGTAGCTCTGCATTTGTGCCCAACGCCTGTTGCACTACCTTTTCCTTGGCCAACGACTGCAGCAACAGTGCCTGTATGCGATCAGCCTCGTTGCTGATTTTGCCGCGTTGTTGCTGGCGACGCGCCTGATAAACCAAAAAAGAGAATGGATACACTTGTAAGATAAGTTGTAGTACAACACGATAGATAAACTGACAATTGTATCGCGCTTTAGTTGCGGCACGCCGCCATCAAATATGAACACCGGGCGCACACGGTAGTAGAGTAATTTGCACAGGCGATGAAACAGGCCCAAAAGGTGCGCATTGTTCAGTGCCGATCCTTTGCTGTCTTGAAAACCTTTTACAACCTGATGAAGCCATATGGAAATATCTTTAGAAAAGAAGAGATCATTCCATTAAAATATTTGCCGGTAATCACTTAAGCTTGCACAATTAAAGAAAATATTTTAGAACTCTTACCAACGGCAAGCACTTTTCCCTCCAATGTCTCCACGGGCACTGGTTTTCCACAAGGCTCTATTAGCTTCCATAAACCAGTGACACCCATCTCTCTTAGGATATATCAAATTTAAAGCAAGCAACATGAAGTAACAAGCAATTGTATTTCAAAAAACCATGCAAAACTCGTACTAGTATAAAAATTGCAAATAGAGCAAACAATAATTTTTGACTTGTATACAAGTAAATGTTTGGAGTAGTTCACATAGCTAAAAATCGTCTAAACGACTCTATTTTGGATCAGTCTTTGTCGTTTTCCAAAATTGATCGACTCTCGGCGGATGAAATAGGGAACAAAACTTGTCTAATGCCTTATTTGAGATGAACGTCAAACATTAATTTTAGGTTATCGATTAATCGTAAAAGTAAACATCGCATATCAAAGTCACCTCAAATAATACGCTCGATGTACATCTGCATTTACACAACTGGATTCCTAGGAATACTTAGGAGATTAAAACAAAGAAATACCGATTTAAATATGAGTTCCTCATAAATATTCACAGGATAATGCTACGAACCTGAAATATTATCTGTAGTTACTTTATGTGGATAAGCATAAGCACCATTAGCTAGAATCAACGGTTATCAAATCGTGTAAGTCTTGTGGTGAGAATCTTGAAGCCGAAAAATACTCGTTCATTTATTAAACCTTTGACCCTCATTTCCCATCCAAAAGCGGTGGATATTGTAAAAAATGTAGACAACCGTTTTCCGCCAATTTATATAGATTCCATTTTGGACTTTTCTAAATGTCTGAGACACTTTTCAAATAAATGTAAACAAAGATCTTTGAAAATGATTTTGAGGAATATCGGATGGTCATCAAAAAGTTTTATCAAAGGTGCTCGCAATTTTTCCACACTAGTAGGATAGATTTCCCAAAAGCCCAGTCTTAGCGTACACCTCCATCGGATAAAGTACTGTGAAAATTTCTAGGTCTTACGGTTTATGGCCATTCCCCTGGCAACAAAACAAATAAATATTACATATATTCTTGATTTATTTTGTTAAAAAAAAACGATTTTTGGCAAAGTTAGTTTTGTTTTTGTGATATACGCTCCAGACTGAAGCTGACCTTTTTCAAATGCAGGCGATCCGGTGACTCTTGCTTAGAACGCCTTCTACTTAGATCAATGTAAATTAAAAGTTTACCACATTACATACAGGATTTAAATAATTAGGTCTTATACATAAGTAAACGTTGTTATGTTAATTTACACATGTATTTATATTTATAGCGTTACGGACTAAGAGTTTTGGAGTCAGTACAATGATGTATCGGAATACATTAATTTTGCTGACTCGTTTAATTTTATTTATAAGATAAACTATACTAGAAACATATGCCTTACAAGTATTAACACACAATTATGTATACATATCTATATATATAACGCGATTGAATGCTCATTAAGAGTAGTGCGTGACCAAATGTTACTAGCGACAATTTTAGCTCAGCTGCCCTTATTAGTTGGCGTCTTCATTTCCGGCAGAGGCTGCCGCAGCGCTGCTACTGGCAGTGGCATCTGCAGCCATGCTATCTTTTTTGGCCTTACTCTCCTTCTTGTCCCTTACCATCTTTCTATAGACCTCCAAGTCTTGGGTCAACGACGGAACAAAGCTTTCAAAGTCCAGTTCGTTGAGTGTTTGCAAAATATCCTTGGCTGTAATGGTCCTGTGGTTCTGCTTGTGCGCCAATGCCGTCGAGGACGAAGTTATAAATATTGCGAAAACAGACGCTGCTTTCGCGATTGCGGCACGCGCCTCTTTGCTTACATTGGAACCCTCCGGTAAGGCTTCTTTAATCAATCGGGCAATCACAGCATTAGGTAGATTTAAGTCTTCAATGCGCTCGACCATGTTGCAGTCTATTTATTTCAATGTAGTAATTGCAACTTTGTTAATATTTAGTGCAAATGCGTCGTGCTATTCTTTCCCGCGTTAAACCCAGATAATTCGAGTAGTGCTGCATAACGAAATGCGGGTGGTACTAGAAATGGCTCAACAAAAACAGTGCTGGATATCAAAATACCAAATATATCGATATATCGGTTTAGTATCAACAATGCCAGCCAAAAAACAAACATTTTGCGCGTTTATTTATTATATTTGGTAATTTAGTACCAACAAAAGCATAAATGTGCAAAAGACAGCATAACATCATCTTTCAGCTGTTTTATTTTGAACCTAGGTGATACAAGTCCTTAGGGTGTGCCGCTACAACAACAGCGTTCACACGCACATGGAGAATTCGACGGCGACGCCGACAAAATCAACTACAGCGCCAAAGAAACGAAGGCACAGTGAGTATCATGATCCCGATTATGGCTTCGGATACGATAGCCCCACCAGTACCTCCAAAGAGAAGAAGCGCGTTAAGCGTGAGCAAGAAAACGAAGAGGATGGCGAGGCCCTTAACCAGCGGGATGAGCGAACCAGTCCTCTCCGAACTGGTCTTAATCTTGACAGCGTGGCGCAACTCAAGCACTTTGAGGAAATTGTGCGTGCCGAATTCCAAAGGGAGTTAACCCTTAAGGAGCAACAGCTGATCGAGATTGATGCGCGCCTCTATCAGGCACGCCAACTACTGGACAAGTTGAGGTACCATGTGGTCAGCGAGTACTATGTAAAGCAACAAGTACCGTTGACAGCTGCAGACGTGTCCAGGGTGCGATCCAGAGACACATTGTTTGGAGATGGGGCTGAGCATGCCGGAGCCCAATTGCCGTTGCATCCGGCAGTCAAGAAAATTGTGGGCAAGCGGCCAGCGCCTTTACAATTAAACCTGCCAGAGCGCACAGCAGCAACGCTGGCCAAGCAGACAATACGGCTGCGAAACCCTGCGCATCGTCGAGCAGAGCGTAGAAGACAGCAGAAAATTCGCGAGCAGGGCATTGTTACGGATCACTCGCAGGAGAACAAAAATGAACTGAATGTGATCAGCTGTGAAGAACAACCTTGCACCAGCAGACAGGCTTATAAGATTCAAAAGGAGTTTGATTCTTCGTTATCCGCCCTTAACGCCTCACGCCTAAATAACAAAAACAAGTTCTTCTTTGTGGTAGGCAACACCTCTAAGTACCTAGGAGGCGTTGATTCGAGTGTCCGAAACGGCCAAGCGCTAGCTTACAAATGGCTTGTTTATGTCCAGGGCAAAAACTTGCCACAGCCGCCGGAAGCGTATTTAAAAAAGGTAAGCGGAGAGCGCTCGCTTGTTGTCATTGTATAAACATTTCATTTATTAGGTGCGCTTCCAATTGCATCACTCGTATCGGCCCAACGACATTGTGGACGTGCATACTCCCCCCTTTCAGTTGACACGTCGAGGCTGGGGTGAATTCCCCATGCGAATTCAGCTTTATTTTCAGGAGCATCTGCAACAGAAGCCAGTACAACTAATGCACACCATTGTGTTGGACAAAACTATGTGCGGCCTGCACACAATGGGGGGCGAGACAACTGTAGAGGTTTGGCTGCGTTCCGATGCGCCTGCGACAGTGGACATGATAACGCCAAAACCTGTAAAGAAAGAGCCGCATACAACAGCCGCAAAAAATGCACCTTCTTTGCTAAAGAACACTTCCAAGCCGTTAAGCATTTCAATGACACAGGAAAAAGAAGATCTGGATAATAATTTAATTGCCTCCGTCAACAATATCGAGTTAAGCGACGATATCAAGCACATCGACTCCACTGCGCTTGTCTCAGAGTCATTTAAGCTGGGCAGCCCGAAGAAAAAACAGCCTGCAGGGGTACTTGAGCCAAGTGAAGCGCCACTGCGCCTTGATTGCGTCAATACTACTGCTGCTATTAGTCCCTGTTTGGCTGCTGCTTATCCATCCATGAATGGGAACACCAGTACCAAAAAGACGCAAGCGATAGTTGCACAACTGCGCAAAGGACACACAGCATCGCAATTTAAAAACGTGATCTTTCAAAAGGAAGGCAAGCTATACATTATTGATCCGCAGCAATCAAAGTTGAAGCAGGCCGTCAAGCAGCAGTCGCTCCTCAAGCCACAACTTAGTTTGCTCAAGCAGCCAACACAGCAGCTATCCAAACGGTGGCACGTTCTGCAGTGCATCCAAAACGATCACGGCTATGCCAACATGAGTAGCCAGGAAGTGCATCCTCCGCTTGCGCCGCCACTTAGCCAACGCTTGACTCTCGAACATCTTTTTTGCGGCATTCAATTTCAGAATATGCGTAGTGCTGTGGAGTTTTTGCTTCGGCGACTGCCATTAGCAGGCGCATCGATCAAGGAGTTTCCCTTTGGTTTTCATACACGGACAGCATTCATGGCACAGCCCGCTTTGCGCCAGCGGTTCTTCGAATTTATGCGAGGGCGTACTTTATTACGTTGCATGCACCAACATATTCGCCTACAGCACCTGCATACCAGCGGAAAGGAGTCATTTTGGAGCACGCGTGAAATTGTGGCCTTTGCACGTCTACACGGATACACGCCGCCTTTAAAAGTGCTGTGTGTTACCAGAAAAAGAGCAACCTCAGCGATCTTGCCGTTGTCAGAGCGTGTTCAACAACAGCTGCAAGAGGATCCCCAATCGCAACTGTTGGAATATTGCAGTCTCTCTTCAAGGTCCCGTTTAGATAGTTGGCTAACTAAAAAGATAATAAGCTTGCGAAGTCGTGAACATAGATTGGACGATGAGGTGTTAGTTGATGTGCTAAACCTGCCTCCACCTAGTTCACGAATTCAGGGGCCCCCAAATTTATCAGACAATCCACTAAACCATCATATGCTATTTTTACCACCACCTGAGGAGCTGGATGCTGCCACGCAGCTTGTGCGGGACATGTGCAAAGATGTAGGCATAGTCCTACATACAGAACAGAGCGTCCCAGGTGTTTCGCAGTCCCTAGCGCTCACACTTTTAGCACACGTTCTTCGAATGTTTATAGAAAAGTTGGTGAGACGAGCCGTCTCAGCCAAATTGCACCAACAGCAGCAGCCGCATGCAATAGAGACGCTGCCTACTGCGGCAGCCAATATAGAACTGAACTTGCTACCCCACGACATCGCACGCGTTATCGCCAATAGTGCGGAGCTTGATTTCCTCGGAAATTCCTACCTCGGCGTTGATCACAAGGAATCGTAGCCTCAGTCACAGTTTGCACTGCGAAATATATGTTCTCGTTTACCATTCGTCTAGTTCGAAACCCTGTGGGATATTATAGATAAATAGGCTATCTCTAAGTAAACGTATGTTATGTATTTAATAAATTAATATTAAATTTTTTACAGCGCTGTCTTTTTTTTTATGTTATAAAAAATCGAATTTTTTCGAATAATCATGTGTACACATGCAAATGGTAAAAAGATTACCCAATTGGGTTACCCGATAATTTGACAATTGTCCAAAAAAGTATACTTCACAATGGCAGAGTGCTTTGAAAATTGTTTTGAGCGAAAGCAAAAGAACTGGGTTTTAACGTCCTTAACGTTAGTTTGTTAATTTCTCAATTTATTGTCTACTGAGCAAGGTCAAAGATAAAAGGAAATAGTTTTCGTAGACCGAAAATTACAAAAACTCAATTTCCGATATAGATATCGATATCTAGCTGAAGCTGTTTTTTGGGCTTTACACATGGGGTCACAAAATTGTTTTACGCTTTGATATGATATACAAAAAAGTTCAACTGACGAAATAAATATTTGGTTTGGTATTTTTTTTTAGTAAATATACATTTATTTTTTAAAATTTTAGTTTTTATTTTGTTTTGCTTTTCAACAATGTATATATTCAGCTAAATTTTGTTTTTCTTTTTAACACAATGTTATTGTAGTTTTAATTGTTGTTATACGGTTCTCTATCAAAACGATACACATATAATTAAGGTAAAATGTTTAGAACAGCTATGTGATTATATTAACTAAATTGTTTTTTTTGTTTTGAAAGAAAAATATAAAAGATTAATTCGATTATGCAACAAAGTAAAAACAATTTGTTTTTGTAATACTTGAAAGAATTAAACTAAATAATGTAAATTGGTGTCTCTTATGTATAAATATATTTCTCATGAGTGTAGAATCACAGCCTTTTCACGAACATCGAACATTGAAGTTCGGTAATGTTTGAATTGTCCAGTATTAAAAGATTTCGTCTCTCTTTTGTGGTATATAGTACATAAATATGCGTAAAAGACGCTTAATTAATCCATATGCATTGCATGCAGACATATAAATCAACATGATATTATTTTAATCAGTTATGTTTAATTAGAGTTGCGTTTTTAATTTTAGAATTACGCCATGTAACGTGGCTATGTGCACTAAATACATACGTAAATCAAATTTCTACTTATATACAAATAAATATTAATGAACGACTACACGCATATAACTTTAATGGTTCATTGATCCGATTCAATTTGAAGCCAAAACTCGAACTAAAATGTTTTAATCTTAACGGATTAGTCGGCAATCATTCTATTTAAATTTCTACTAAATATAGCTACAATTAATTAATATCATAAACGAAAGAGTTGGCGCTTGTCTATGAAAGTGTCTAATTTAAGTTATACTAATCGGTGTCGAAAGGCCACATATTTAAACTAAAAGTACATGGGTAACGGTTGGTTTGTAGTGAGTGTCGCGTCTGAGAATTTCGCCGGTTGACGCTGGATCAGGTAATCGATGTTATAATCTGATTCTTAGACCCATAATCGGCGATTCTGCAAGAAAATGAACGTAAGAAGTCGATCCATTCAACAACAAAATTTGTCTTATACAATGTATAAATAAAAGGACACAAAATTAAAAAAAATTAAAACGTTAAGAAAAATGAATTTATGTATTGGACATGCATAGCTAAAATAATAACTTTTAATGTTTAAATCATAATAATGGAACTTATAATTGTAATTTATTTTTATTTGCGGTTGATTTTGTGCCTTTTACCTATAAATTGATGAGGCTGACGTCGAGCGCGACCATGTAACTAACAAACTCTCACCTCTACCCTGCTCGCGTTTGCTCTGAAGAATGACCTTGGTGCTGTCGTCGGGGCACATAGAGGTACGTACAGTGTTAAGAACCAAGCTAGAGTAAAGTCGACGGAAATTGAATTCATTAGCAGAGGTACAAAAGATCTAATTATAGCGTCAATTTACCGAGGGAGCACAGCAACCACCGTGGAAAGTAATATAACCAACCAGTGTACTGCAGATGCAATACATTTAAAGATAACCCAGTAAGTAGAGGGCAGTCCAAAACAGTTAACACACAAAGAATTGTAGACAACGGAGAATAGATAAAAGGCGCCCAGACTTATCAATATTGATAGCACATGGAGCAGCGTCTGGACAGAAAAAAGAGTCTTTATTAATAACACTTGCGAGTAATTACGTTGAGAGAGCTTACCCAGGAACGTATTTCAATGCAACAGTGCACTAGATTTGCAAACAGGCAGCTCGCCGTTATGGTTGTACCAAATTCCCAGATTCCGACATCACTTTCCGAATAGGCGCAGAGGGCAACAAAAAATATGACAAGAGATTGATATAGGGCATCTAAAAGAATCAGCCAAAAGTCGTGTGGCCTGTAGGCGAGACCCAAGCGACCCTACAAATAAAAGAAGATATAATACATAAATATATATAAGCACTAATTCAATGACTATGGCACAGCACCATATGAGCACTGATGATCTTACATTTTTGTACAGATATGGATTTTTCAATAGCAAGTCTTCTGGCACTCGGTTGTCATAGACACCAATCGCAAGGGGAGGCAGTGAGGTGAACAATAAGTTGTAAAGCATTAGATACATTTGGTCCATCATTACAGAGCCGGAGAAGCCGCAGTATAATTGATACCAGAATATCAGGAAAACAAAAGCCTGCGAAACCAAGTACATATATAATTTAATAGGAACACATCAAATCTGAAAGCTTTACCCACCGCATTCTTATAAAAAAAGTAGAGTATCATGCGTGCCAAGCGATCATAGCACCAGTAACCATGTGCGAGCAGCAGCCGCTCCAAGTAGCGGAAACGTGAGAGCGTAAAGTCAGCTGCCATGACCGCTTGCATGCCTTCCTGGCCAGAGATACCAACGCCCACATCGGCCATTTGTATCATTGAGACATCATTGGCCCCATCGCCAATAGCAAGCGTACGTAGATTGAGCTCCTCCTTGACTACTTTGACCAAATAGGCCTTTTGCAGTGGAGTAGAACGACAGCAGAGCACCGAAGCGCATCCCTTGGCCAACTTGAGGAAAGGCAGAATCAACTTCGACCTAAAATAGATAGACAGACAGTCTAGGACAGAGCTAGGTCTAGCTGTGTGCAGTGACCTACTTGGGATCCAATATGAACGTCAGTGTCTTTCCATCTACGACCAGGGCTCGAGGTTTGCAGCGCGGCGCTAAGATGTAGCCCGTGGAGTTTGTCGCCTTTGCATTCCTCATTTCGGTCAAAAAGAAATTTATGGCTGTCTCAGCAGCATCTCGAGAGCGAGCGGTTAGCCTGCATCAATAATCAGACGATAATGGTCAAGACAATGAGCTGAATAGAGATCTTCATGCACTCACTTGATTAGCTCCATTTGCTGCGTGAAGAGTTTTGCCGAGTAGGCAATGTTGATTGCCGTCTCTGGCTTGTCACCTGTCAACACCCACATGGAAATTCCCGCCGAGAGTAGCGAAGCTATCGTTTCGGGCACACCATCCTGTAGGCGATCCTCAATGCCAGTGGCTCCCAAAAGCGTCAGATTGCACTCCAGTTTGGCGAATGAGTCGCGCAGTCGTCTCTCTCGATTCTCCAACGACATTTCAATCTCCTGATGGCGCGCCCACCAGTCCGTATAGTCCGCAGCATTAAGGCTCCGCTTTGCCATCACCAGAATTCGAAGACCCTCCCGAGCATAGCGATCCAGCTGCTGCTGCGTCTGCTCACGAAGCAAGCCTTAAAATAAGATCGAAAGATTTAAAATAATGCAGATAGAATAAATAGGCGAATCAAAGTTGGTTTTACCTTCGGGGCTGTTGTTGCCGCAAGGTGCCAGCACGGGCATGATAGAGCTATCGGCACCCTTTGTGTAGAGGACAATCTCCTGGGTGCCTGTTTGCCGGACAACTATTGACATGCATTTGCGGCTTGAATCGAAGGGCAGTATTTTAAGGATCTCATACTCAACGGTGGCGCCAGCCGTTGGCATGCTCACAAGGATGTGATTCGGACTGCGATTCAGCAGACAACAGTCATAGCTATATGCGGCATTGACTAGCGCTAGCTCGTCTGGACTCTCCGCCTCGTACAGAGGGCGCCCGTCGGCGGTTCGGTAGATTGTTTGCGTCTTAGTTTGGCTGTAAATTGAGTCAGAGTTCAAATTGATTAAACCCAACGAGAATTATCGGGCAGTCAGCACTCACTTTATCTTCAGGCGCTTGCCTTGCGTCTTGGCATTTAAGAATGTGGCTATGCTGGTGATTTTGGAATTGATGACAGCCTTGGCGCGACCAGTTGGTGAAATACTGTTGGACAGCGCCTTACTTTTCATTGGGGGCGATGGCGACTCCGAATTGGGCGTCGACTCTGGCGAGCTGCTAATCGGCGAAAGCGTGGGCTGGTGGCTTTGAGCGGGCATGGCAAACAGTAGATTAGGAGGTGGCGACGGAGTCACAGAGCGCGACTCGGCCAGCCGTGTATAACGATCTGTTGGCAATGCCATAGTTCCGGCCTGCGGCACTCCGCTTATTAGAGTTGTTGTTGTTGACGTCGTTGTCGTGGACGTTAGCTTTGCTCGCGACCTTAAATGCTTCATAACGGAGGGCGAGGAGCCCGTCGCCGGACTGCTGCCGCTTTGTTGCAACTCGATGATGCCGCTGGCGTTCATCAAATCTCGATGTGGCGCCGCACTCACGATGACTGTATTACAGATAGCCAGCACGACAAGGAACTCCTGTATGCACTGCGCGTGGGGCGTCAGGTAGGCGCCCCCGCCAGCACCAGTCAGTCTTTGCATATCGTCCTGCAGCGTCTCGTTGGGCACAAGTGGGGGGGCCGGCGCTCCCGGCTTAGCGTACAGCTTTTCCAGCTCAGACGGCGGATGGTTGTAATCGGCACCGTTAACCACGCAGCGACGAAAGATCATCTTGTTCTCGGTCAACGTGCCCGTCTTATCGGAAAAGATGTGCTGTATCTGACCCAGCTCCTCAGTTATGTTCATGGCACGGCATTCCGTTTGCTTGTTGGTGTCCGCGTCGTACAGATCGATGTTGTTGTGTATGTGGAACACCTGCAGTATCTTGCACAGCTCAATAGTCACGTACAGGGAAAGCGGTATCATCACTTGCAGTATGATGATGTACGTCCAAAAGGTCAGCATGCCCTCGTAGGCAGCATCGACGGCAAACGGCAAATAGGGTACGGGAAAATTAACAAACGAACGCAACCACATTGTGCAACCGATGGCGCCAACAACGCAAAGGATCAACAATATTATCACACACCTGCAACATACAATACAAATACAATAATAGAAAACATGCCACAGTTTTTAGCTATAAAATTGTACAAAAATCTCCAAAGCAGCAATTTTTTTTTTTTCAATTTTTAAGACCGATTTAAGACCACCTTTAAACGGAAAAATCACGAGGCAATTGCAAAGTGTTATCACAAAATAGTTTAAAATAAAATTTTTTAATTTGAAAAATTCCAACTTAACCGTAAAAAATTGTAATAAATTCTTATCATGTTGGAGCCGCAATGCATCAAGCATTTTATCTTAACTTTTTAAACAAGCTTTCATACAAATATTTAAATTAAGGCCCAGGAAATTGTTTTAAACGAAGCTTGCTTAAAGCTGTATAAATATCGTTATGGGGATAAATATATATCTGAAATATATCTGATCGCATTTTGATTCTTCGTTATACCAGGATCTCTTTTCTTATTCTATCCTCTTTAATATTTAAAAATTCCATTCAAGGTTTTAAATTATTAGATTAGACCTTTAATTCCCCCTGCTGTGATTACTTGTACTCTTCTTTGATTATGTACAGAAATTTTGTGCCTTCTGATACGTACCATATCACATCAATATTCATTTGCTGTTCCACCTGGGAGCGCTTGTACCTTGGGCCACTGTTGTTCAGCATGGACTTTGTTTCATGCCCGGCATAGACGACGATGCCTTCAATGTAGTCCGTATTCTAAAATGTACAATGTGTTCATATCTGCGGCAGATTGCACGTTGTGGGACTCACCTTCAGTCTGCTCTCTCTTAACAAAAGGCACTCGGTCGATATTGGTACTCGCTCCCCAGTTGGATGTATTAAGGCCCCGTGAAATCTATAAAGCTTTGTTGTTGGCGCATCCGCCTCCACGCAGCTCATAAACTTGCTGGGGACAAACATGTTCTGCATTTCCGCAAAGCCGCGTACAACCTGCAAATACAAATATCGGGTAAAAACTGGCATAGATAACCCTTTGTTGGGGAAGGGCCTAAATACCTCGCGTCGCTTTAGATTCGTTTCTCCGTCCAAGTCGCACGTGTCAATGTAGCAGACCCCATGGGGATCGCTGGTGCGTAGCAGCAGAATATCCGCGGGCACCGTCTCGTTGTTGGACAGATGGACAATGTCCCCGACACGCAAATCTTGCCACTTAACTTTCTTATATCGCTCCGTCTCCCTGAAAGCAAAGGTTATTTACTATTAGGCATTTGATTTTATTAAATTTGATAAAGTAATTAAAATAGTTATTTTTTTAAGTATGATAAGCATATTCCGGCCGTTCCCTCGCTGAGTTAACGAATCAGCTGTCAACTGTCAAATCCATTTGCAATCACCAATAATTGTACGGGAACGGGTTGGGTATAGGAAAGAGGATATACCACAAAGACGGTGGGTGTTTGTGTAAACAGAAAGAAGGTGAGTCCCATTAGTGCTAGTAAAGTGCCAAGGAAATTGCAGGATATTGCGCCAAGCCCAAGGTTGTCGGCCAAGGACAGTAGTCGAGGTTTGGCCAAAGCGAAAGCATTCGATTCGTGACGCTGGCTCAAATTCATGTGGTCATGGCTGATATTTAACCATTTATGAAAAAAAAAAAACCAAAGCTTGGCCAGCTCAATTCACTTTCCGCCCAAGTTACACATCGCAAATTGTATTTTATAGAAACGTCCATGTGTACGCTTTGCGTGTCAAGGGTTACCCAATTCGATGCCATCCCGGCTGCCTGCTGTCATTGTTCGTGTCAAGTCATGTTCGTGCCCTACTTGATTTCAGATTAATTTTCCAACATACCCACCCAGCCTTAAATTCCGTTAACATCAATGCCATGAACAGCGACGAGCAGTACATGCGTCGACTCCCGGAGCCGCGCGGTGAAAGCCTTTGCCATCATTTAAATTGGGTCATTAGCGAGATTGCACATTCTAAAGCAATTTGCCGGGCACTCAGGCACCATATCAACAACAACACGCTTTTACTGCTCTGCCTTTACAAATATAATTACAAGACCCTCTACATTTGTGGTTCTGTCGTCGGCGGGTTTGTTGTGCCTGTCTGTTGGATTGCAGGTGAGAGTTGTTAAGTTGGCTGTCTTCTAACTTCAATTCTCTAATTGGTTCCGTTTTAAAAAACTGAACCGCAACAATAGAATACGTTTTAGTTGGCGTCATCAGTTTATTTTTTCCAGCTGTACATTATCTTGGACCTAGGCGATTAGATATTGAATTGCGGCTTTGACTTTGACAAAAGAAATATATCCCACTTTCATAACGATTCTGATAAGCTTATTTTTATTAATTTAATGGAGGTTGATAGACAGCCAACTGATTGCAGGATTGCAGTTTCGCCACTTTAAGTGAGCCTTGCGATTTGTTATATATATTTAAGCCATAAAGAGCGGAAAACAAAAACCAAAGTTTGGAACGGCAGTAGAGCGATGGGTTCAAGGTATTTCCTAGATTTTTCTGGATTTCCACTGGAGTTTATTATCCGATTGTTCCTATGTAAACTATCTATATGAAGTACTTTCACATTCGTCTGAATCTTTTATACACACAAACATACATATAATTAGGAGAAACACGAATATTGAATGTCAACTTTGAATTTCTTAATCAATCTGTCGCTTAAGCTCAGTTCTTCTCTTCATAGGTGTCAAGTCCATTTGTTTAAGCAGAATCAGAGACATAAATCCCAAATACGCGGTCTCCAGCGCCTCATTTCTCAAAGTTTGTCCGGTTATTGCATGTTATCTAATTGGCCTGGAGGCGACGCTGGATTATTGCTAAAGTGGTGAAATAATGTTGAATCTTTAATGGCCCCTTTGGGGATATAACCCCCTTCTGGGGACTGCCTCGATTTAAAAGGCGTTTAAGCAAAATGCAAAATTCATGTAGTTAAACGCGATGCGCCCGTCAATTACTGAATTATTGACAGGGCCAAGCAATTTAGCAAGTAGATAGTCTCAGCCCTTATGCTTTTAGTTTGTATTCGACTTTGTACAGCGCGACTCGTATGAATATAAATATTGAAAACTTTCAAGAAATTAGCGTTCAGAAAATCAGTTTTTATTTCGATTCAAACATCTGTTGAAAACTAATAATTGTAATTTATTTGCAGCTGGCTTTTATGAGTCGAATTAGAGAAGTTTTTTAAAAACAAAATGATAAGCTTAACAGTTGCTGCTTAAAATAGTTTCAGCAAGGTGAAAATAAAGTGCAATAATTAATAGAATTTGTTTTTAACTCTATTTGGTTTGCTGTTAAAATTTGGTTTGGGTTTGTATATATTTAATGCTAAACAAGAATTTGGGAAAAATTTGTAAAACCACATTGATGAAGATCATTATGAATGAAGAGTTATCTTTTAGATGCCGAACATTAAACTCCGGTAAAATTCAATTTTTTTTTTGCTTTTGCCTAGGCCAACTTTTAGAATATAACTCGGAACTTTTCTATTGTCTTGACTGGTACTTTATAGAAAATATCATTATCGGATTATTGTGCGGGTTTTCAAGGGCTTTAAAATTAAAGGATATCTAGAAAAATTTGTATATTGTTCTTATTTTTAATAGGGCGCCCTTGAAGATATTAATCACGGAAATTAATGCAGTAACCATCAATTTAAACGAATTAATGTTTATTCAATTTTATGATTTACAACGTTTTTCTTACATGTCAAAGCTTTCAAGCGTTATTTTAAAGACATAGTCTGTATTTTAAAAACGGTTCAATTATCGTGCCTAGAATCCGGTTCGATATGATATCACGTTTTGATTTCACGAACCACAATCCAAGATGGTTTCCATTTAAAACCATTTGGTATTAAATAAGTTTAAACATTTAAACCGATATTTATGATGAGCAAAAGTCTGATTATATATATTTGTTATAGCAAAATGTATCTGTATATGTTCATATGCTTTGTAGATGACACGATGATCTAAGAATATTGTAACCAGAATATGATTGGACTTTGCTGAAGTCTGAGAAACTTTATGACGACACTTAGACCCTCATGGAGTTGTGGAATCGGTGTTGAATAAGCTACTTCCCCACCCCATGAACGATATGTCCATAACATGTACATAGAAAATAAAAATGTATATACTTATGTGGGCTAAAGTGGGTCATGTGGGTTTACTTTGTCATTGTTATTCTTACGATATTCGATGACGCCTGTAAATGCACGAAATCAGTTTACTTAAAGTTCACTTGAGCAAGCCCACGCGCATGTCTCATAACTCAGACCAATAAAATACTCATACATAAGTAGAAACATACTATAAACATGTTTAATCAGGGCCCCAGAGGGATAAAATAAAAACGCGAGCCTGGAAGCAAATAATACACTGCTGTTACTTACATAGACCTAGGGTAAGGTAAACTGATTGGCTAGACGGTTTGTACATATTCGACCGACTCCAACGCACTAGAGTCCTACACATTCGACGTAAATGCTAAATCATTTAATAAGTCTCACGCAGGACTAATATCGGACCGAGTCGGCCTGGGCCCAGTAAATGGGGCAGATAGGTAGCGTAAGCCAAAGGTAGGCAGTCGACACGTCAGAATGTTGGACAGGCTAAGGTCGGGATTTATTTTATATACCCTTGTACAGGGTATTATAATTTGTCAAGATATGTGTAACGCATAGAAGGAGGCGTCTCCGACCCCTTAAACTATTTTTATTCGATATCAGCATCAACAGTCCACTGTCCGTTTGGCTGTTTCTATGAGAACTGGTCTCTCGCTTTAAAGCTGTCGTCTTGCTATTTCACATAAACTTTTTTGTTTATCAAGATATCTTAAAATTGGTATTTATTAGGTTTACAATGCTTCTCATATAAAAGCAAAATCCTATCAACATCGCACCACTATATCATATAGCTGCCATAGGAACGATCGGTCGAAAATGAGGTTCTTGTATAAAAAACTTTTTGGTTTACAAGATATCTTAACCATACTGGACACTAACTATTTTCCCTGTGCTTCTTAGATACGAGCAAGGCATTATGAAAGCGTTCGGTCTGCAAGGGTATTAAATCTTCGGCGTGCCGATGATAGCTCTTCTTTCTCGCTTTTTATTTACTATACTATATGACAGTCTATATTTAATTTGACATTAAAAAAAGATAATCGATCAATTTATTTTAAACTTATTTTTGATGCTGATATGTGGGCATTTGTCTGACTGAATAACTAATTTTAAATCAGCCGTATAGTGATGTGCATATTTAAAGGACATTCATTAAATGCCAACGGTAGCATGTGTATCCTTTAGATTAGGATAAGAAAAGCGGGCAGAAGACTTTTGTAATCAATGTTTAGGTTTACTCATAAGGAAACTCACTAACATGGAAAACATTACTACATTTTTCAATTGTTTCAACTGCACACGAATCAATCATATAAACGCGATTAAAGCACTTTTCCATTATCCCAGCGATAGGCGAAGGGTGCTTCAGTTCAATTCACAAAAGCAAAAACTGCTATTAGATCCGAAGCCATGTCCAAATCTATATCCCGTTCCCTTAAGTCGGGCGCGTTCAGCAAACGCAAAGACAAGTTTGCCAAGTAATTAGCTCTCTGCACGCAATGTGCCAGCTCTGACAAAGCCAGCCGAGCTAAGGGGACGAGACGACATTCACATATGGGCACAATTGTTGGGCCTTCCAAATCGCTCGACTGCGCTCCCAAATTAATAATTAATAACGTGGTCGGCAGTTGATTTGTGTTAGTTGTTAGTTGTTCTTGTTGGTCAATAGCAACGACAACTGTATAAGTTCTGTCACAGGAAAGGGCCATCCTTTATTTGTTCCTCTGCAGTAAGGGAATGCCCAATGCCTTATTGCTTATTACGGGTCCCTCGAGCTATGCCCATGTCCAGGCCAGGTCACTTTGAAGGCCATTAGCTGGTAATTTGCTGTGAATGTGGAAATTCCGTTGCCGAAATCTTTGCTTTTAGTTTTAGCATGTACACCAGATTTTATCTATAAAAAATTGACATCAATGTGCACTTTTTGAACTGTGGCTATCATGCAGCTAATTTTTTTAATGAGTCAAACAACGAGGTCATACATTGTAAAATGTATCTGTCAAACAAAGTAAAGCAACAAGAATATTCCGACTGTTTCGACCCGAGAATACCCTTCACTTCCTGTCTTTATTATTATTTATGGAC